TGAGCCTACAGTTCCAAGTACACAGGGGAGTGAAAGAAGTACCTGGAAGTGTTTTTGATGAACAGAGAATAAGGAGTTTCCTTGGTATTTTGGAATGGTGCCATATGTTCCATGTATATAGGAGAGGTAAAAAGACTGAATGGGAACTGGTAGACACTGTCCTGAAGTCTGAAATCTCAGCACTTCAAACCTCTGCTTTGTGATTGTCCCTCCTGGCTTAAGCCTCCTTTGGCTACTTGTACCCCTCTCCTCTAAGGACACACTCAATGTCACATTGATCCTTGCATGGACAAGTAAGGGAGGTTAGAACCAAGATAGACGTTCCACTTGCTGGGGATATTAGAGTACAGGGCCCAGAAAGAATGGGAAGGCTTGAAGTCTACAGTTTTAATATAAGTATGTATCATGGCACAAAATGAGAGGTGGAAGTTTAATAATTTATTCAATGAATGAGGTGTGGATGGCAAGTCTAAAATAAACTCTACGTCCATTCTCATCTTGGACTTCTCTATTAGTACACACACACACACACACACACACACACACACACACACACACACACACATATTCACTCACCCAACTCACCATTTACTGGAAGCAAAAATGACAGATCCTTCTCCACAATCCATGCCTGCCCCAAGCAGCCATACCTACCTCCTAGAAGTCAGACCCAAAGGTGATTGCCTTCTGGCCACAAGGATGCTCATTATTTCCATGGTCTTAATGGCTTCTATTCCTGCCTCCCTGGAGTAGAAATGTCTGCTGCAGATCTTCCTTTTGGAAATCTGAAGACTTCTAAAAATTGCCCCTGAAAAGAAAGATAGGTAGATGACAGTTAACAATGTGGTCACAATTATTCTTATGTAGGTAGGCTGCAAAGAAGGCTGAATGGAATCTTAGGTAGAATTATTAGAAGATGAAAGAAAATAATTCCTTAACATGGCTATTTACCTCTTTGCTATCTTTCTCCACATCTTTTGTTCTCCCATATGCGACTGTTTCTATTTTCATCCTGCTCATTCACTTCTCTTAAAACATACTCATTTCCCTTATTTTCTATAAAACTCTTTTCTTGCCTGATCCCCCATGAATGGAAGGGACAAAAGTCTGTAAAGCTTTAAATTACTACATCTAGATATGTATTATCTTCCATCCTATTCATGTAACAAGGACTTTGTGATGTTTGCTGTAACCACATTAAAGCAAGCTTTGTGAAAACAAGTGCCTTGATTTAATCATTTAATGTGCAAATGCTTGTACAGCATTAACAGATATGCACAATCAGCTCAACAGAAAAGGAGAGGAGGAAGAGTCTGAGAAGGAAACAATGGTGGGACATTCTTGAAGGAGGTATGTTGCTCTGGAATGGAAAAAGTCAAGGAAAAACAGCAGGATTATTTGCAATGAAATGTAGATGAAAGAAGTGAAGATGGAGAGTAGGAGACACAGCTTTAAGGAAAAAAAAATACCCAGAAGTATACAGAATGAAAAAAAAAAAAAAACCCGAAAGTTGGCTCATAATTCTGCAGCACCAGATAACCCTTACTGACGTAAATATACTTCACACGTGTGCGTGTCTATTTTATATGCATGTGAAACATTTTTACTTTATATAAACTGCATTATCATTATCAGAAGATTGAAACACAACACAAAGTAAAAGGATCCTCCCTCCTTGCAAGCTAAACTGTTCTGGTTAGCTTTGTTTCCATCCAGAAATGAAATTGATAGTTTGATTTAGTTTTGATGAGTTGATAAGAGGATGTTGGTCCATACTGACTTCAACATGCTTATCTGGCTGGAAGGACAAAGGGGACCATCTGAAAATTAGAGCAAACTCTAGTGTCAGTTCCTCCTTCCCATCCTTGGTTTCTCTTGTAGGGGCTGCAGAGGCGGCATGTGCCTCTCCTAGCCTAGCACCACTATTCCAGAATGCTGTTGAAATATGAGGGGACCACTGTCAACCATTCACTACTGTAGTGTTCTGTATGCAAAGATCCAGAAAGAAGCAAGAAGACAGTTGGCTTCTAGAACTCTAAGCCCTCAGCAAATAAAATCAACAATTTACAGTTTTTACGCACTTACAAAATTGTTAAGTATTAACAATCAGTTAATAAAACAGCTATTATGACCACACTGATTCTTTCAATAATTTTTTTATTTAGCATCCTCTATGTGTCAGACAACTATGTACTGTGAATACAATGATGAAAAAAAGAGCAAGCAAAAGCAACTTCCTTTGGTGGGCTTATGATGCAGTGGGGGCGGGGGTGTATTAGTCAAACACATAAATGTAAAACTACGACCATGTTAAATGCACGTTTGTGAATGTTTTCTTCCAAGTGTGTATGAATTGGGGGCAAATCAGGATATTGATGATTTTTTAAGGAGATTTTTATTATAATAAGTTCAAATGCTTGTCTTATTAATACTGTTATTGTATATATTTAGGTACAATTATGTAAACATAATTGCAAAATTAAACTGTAAATAAAGGAGAAATGTGCTTATAACACCAAACTATTTTCATGTGTCTATGTTCTCACATAAATTCGTAAACGAAGACTTTGCTTAGGTTCTTATCCTGCACCTGTTAACATTTGTTAAAGTGAGAATTGTTCTCTTCAGAAACAAACCATTTAATATTGTTACAGGGTATCTCCTCTCTGAACCCTTCCCCATTTAAACACACACACACACACACACTCTGTTCTTATGGGAAACCCGTCTCCTATATGTCCACTCTCCACCCTAATCTCCTCAGTCCCCGAACCTGGCAATCTAACAGACATGCGTACATTCTGGCATGCTCTGCTACTAAAACATTAACTGCTTTTTTTGACTTTTTAATTTTTTTAGAGACAAAACAGCATGGGGTAAGGTGAAAATACTTTGCTATATTACTCAGCAGTATTAGCAGAAGGATTATTAAGAGTATTTCATGCCCTATGAATAGAATTGTGGTGAACAGGACAATGGCAGGAAACCTCCATTCACAAAGCCAAGGGAAATTTTTAGGGAGTTGTAACTAATGCTACAACTTAAGTAACATTAGTTATTTGCTCACATTTAAACATAACTGCTGATAATTTGTTCTCACTGTTGAGGGGATCCAATAAGCATTGTTCCTTCTGGTTGCAGAAATTTAAAGCACAGCTATATTATACCATAAACCACATATAAAGATCAGGGCCCATTCCTTGTATGTGCCTTATCTCCAAGCTGAAAATTTATTCAGTACTCTGATAGTAAATAAAAAAAAGTAAATATGCCCTACCTCTAGGTGCCAGCTACTGGGTTAGAGTTCTACCCTTCCTTTCACATGGCATCTCTGGATGGGTTCCAAAGCTACTGCTTAAAGAGAAAAACAGACAGAAACACTTCTTGCCCCACCACAGAATCCTAAAGATTCTCCCTCTGCTGTCTCGGAGCATATAGGAAGTGTCATTCCTTCCATTGCTACAAGTGAGAATTCTAGAAAAAGTCGCAGTTCGGTCGACAACTTTGGTATAAATCCTGAAGTTATTCAGAAATTACAAGACATGTTACCCAAGTTTAGGCTCAAGTACTCCAGCCCCACCTACTTGAACTAGTTCTGCCTTTCCTAGATTTTCTTCTCTGCCATTCTCATCTCTTTCAAGTGGTCCCCCCTCCTAACCTAAAGTAACAGTTTTACTCCGAGAGGAAGTGAGGTTATGATCTAATTAACCCCTCTCCAATGCTTTCCCTAATTTACCTCTATCTCCCCAAAGAGAGGTGGAACTTACTGAGAGAGCAAACCAGAAAATCAGTATAAACTGGCATTTTAAATTCTTATGTTCCCCAAATTTCTGTGGATAACCTCCCACAATAGGGAGGGGGTAATTCTCTGAGGAAACAAATCTTTCTGAAGCTCATGTTCAATCTCTTCTAAAGGGTACCTTTTTGAGTCAGTCTATGGTTTCCAGGCCAGAAAAGTGCACTGACCTCACACTTCAGTCTAAAAAGTAGGCCTAGAGACCACTCATGATGGCCTGACTGTAAACATTTGGTCTGAGATGAGGATAACCATAACCACCCTTACCTTAAAGGAACAAACGCATACCAACCCCGTGACCCAGTGAGGTAAAGGAACTTGTCCAAAATTACAGCAAGGCAAATGGCTGAGGCATTTTCAAGGATCTAGCTCTCCTAAATCAGAGCCCTTTCTATCATATAGAGAGCAGAATAACTTTGAAATTGACATAAAAGCTTCTAGAAAAATTAAATACCCTCCCTAATCTCAAACTAGGGATTCTGTACTCTCTATATAAGGAAATGGAAAAAAGAATTCTGAGGAGGGCTGGTGGAGTGGCTTAAGTGGCAGAGTGCCTGCCTAGCAAGTGTGAGGTCCTTAATTCAAGCTCTAGTACCACAAAGTGGAGGAGGGATGAGGGGAGAATTCTAAGAATAAAAAAGATGAGTAATACTGAGGTGTAAGTGGAGAAAGATGACTCTGAAGTCTCTGTTGAGCCAGGTTACAAACTGATGACAGCAGGGATGTCAGAAGAAAACCCGAACAAAGATTAGAAAATCTGAGGACTGCCAGATATCGTGGCTCACGCAGCCAACCCAAGTAAAATAGTACGAAAAAACCCAATACAAAAAAAATCAGGGCTGATAGAGTGGCTCAAGTGATAGAGCACCTGCCTAGCAAAGCATAGCAAGCGTGAGGCTGAGTTCAAGCCCCAGTACTGCTAAAAAAAAAAAAAACAAAACAAAACAAAGAAAGAAAGAAAATCTGAGGACTGAGCTTCCTGATTCCCAAGAGCATCCTGAGCAATCATTTGATTGTCCCAGGGGGCTCAGTTCCCAGAAAAGCCTAGGGAGAGCCAACACAAGGGATATAAAGAGCTTTACAGTAGGACACCGCCAATACCAAATGACTGCTGTTTCTTACTATCCATTCAGGGCAGCGCTGGGGCACACACTTTATAACCTAACATTCTGGCAAGAAGGAAGTAGCTCTGGGGGTAAGAATGGTTATGGATGGGGATAGCCAATAGCGTAGCAGGGGTTCACTATTCTAGTTTTCCTTTGAAATTCAAATTGTGTGGTTTCCTTGCCTAGCAAACAAGAGACCTTGAATTCAAACCCCAATACTGAGAAAAAAAAGTGTGTGGTATCAAAACAAAAATCCAGAAAGAAACATAAGATTAATGCATTTATTCCAAGAAATTAACACATTAAAAATAAAGTTAAACTTGTCCAAGCCAATTCATAAAATCTTTAATCTTTTAAACAAAATGTACAACCCAAAACATCACACTATGGTGGAAACAGCTTGGGAAAGGGAGAAGTAGAAGGATACATATAGGTTTATGGAACAGAGAATGAGTCCAATTCCAAGACAAGTTTCAGACCTTCTATCTCTTCAGAACAGAAAGGCTGCTAAACAATTTAATACAAAGAGTTACCAGACCACAATACAATGAGCAAAGACCATTTAAGAAGTAAAAGTGAGCTCCAAAACATATCTGCTCCTGGTATTGAGCTAAGAATGCCTTACCGATTTGTTGTCTTCCAAAAGTGAGCCTGTCAAATTTTCTTCCATGTTTATTGAGGCTATTTCCAAACAAGTTTATAGATTAGCAGAGCCATCTCAAGCAAAGGCAACAGAACAAAGGAAGTATGGGAGCTGACATGCCAAAAAGGAAAGTGAACATTAAACAAAAGGGCTACTCACGCTGGATTTCAATCAATGTTAAGGCAGGCCCATTCAAATGGAAGCCTAAGAGATGAACAATTCTTCCTTCATCAGTAGAAATTATCCATTTCTGCAAGTTCCCTAGTTTTTTCCCAGAGATACATCGGCTACCCAGGAAATTAGGTAGGGATACAACACAGCAATCGGAGAAATCAGCTCTGTCCCCCTCCTCCTCCCTCACATTCCAGAAATGGCAGCATTAAAGCCAAAATACAATTAAAGCACACTATGTGGTGAGCCAGATAGACATTTGATTTTAATGACAAAGTAGGAGAAAATAATTTGGCCAAAAAGAAAAAAAATTAACAGAAAAAATTTTTTACAGATATTTATAGAAGTTGTTATGATTGATTTGTCTGATATTTTAAGGGGAAAAGAAAAAGAAAAAAAGGAGGTAAAAGTTTTTAGCTTCCACAAATGTTTACTGTAAGATGGTGATTGAATCTCTTGGTGTAGGTTCCAGATGAAATTGCCAACTAGTCCTAGAATCATCTAAGCATATGATTTCTAGAAGCCAATCTGATTCATCCACAAGTAGCTTAGTCATGAACACTGGATTCTGTGTGGTCCTGGATGGCATCAACTGTGACTTCTTGTTCAGGCATTTCCTGAGGGACCATATTGCCTCCAACTATCCTTGAAGTTGGAGTTTTTACCAAATTCAAAGAATCATCATTGTCCTCAACTGCTTGAGGAACTGCTATCTCTGGGATGGATGCATTTGGAATTTCTAGCTGTAGTGGACCCAACTCCAGGGAACTACACTTAGGACAGTCATCTGGTTCAGAGAGTGGAGAACATAGTTTCTCTTTTGGAGCTACAGATGTCCGAGTAACAAAGTCAACAAGGTCTGGAAGGCAAGGAGATGGCCCAAGGCTTATATGAGTAATTGTTTCGGATTCCAATCTGAGTGACTCTTGCTTCTTTAAAGTTTCTTCTTCCTCAGGCAACATTCCTCCTGCCAGTAGGTCAAGGGCCTGGTGTGTTCCTTCTAGGCCCCCTAAGCCATGCTCAATATTTTCTATAGGAAGTCCAGTTTTCAAATAGTTAGAAGTGATTCTCCCACTTCTGGGATCAGATGAGTTGTGTTTACCCTCTATTCCAAAGTTAAGCACCAGGGTTTGGGGAGAATCTAACGGAAACTCAGAAAAAGATGAAATTGGTTCAAAGTCACTGAGGGTGGAGGTATTACATCCTATAGGTGATAAAGAATTTTCTTCATATTCTTTCTGAGACAGGGCAGTTGGGGATCTGTGTGCTGGGTCTACCTGAGTATTGCAGAAATCAACATGCATGACTCCTAGATCCCCTGGTGCAGCAAGTTCTTCTACCTGTAAATGTGTAGCTTCAAAGTCTTCTGAGGCTTTACTGTCTACTGTCACTGTTAGTTCTTGACAGAAATCTCCTGGTTCCACAGCTTTCATTTCTGTTTTCTCTGGGCTTTGCCAGGTCTCTGACCTCTTGTTCTTGTCCCAAACAGCCAGCTCACAGACAATTTTACCTTGAAAATCTTTTGATCTTTCTCTTTTGAGTTTGAGGCTTTTGTATCTAGAACTTCTAGAAGCTGATTCTGGAGCTGAATTTTCTAGCCACTCTTGACTACTAGCTGTAACTCCTTTCTTTTGGTGACTATCCGATCTGGCTGGGGACAGAAGAAGCAATTCTGGGGCAGAAATTTTCCCAGGCATATTCTGTGGGTTCTGGAGTAAAGACTTAGTTTCTGATGGAAATGAGCCTATTTTTACCTTTGTGGAACAGAAAGCCTGTGAACTACTCAATTCAATTACTACGTTACTTGGAGTTTCATGTCCTGTCATCAGTGTCTTAGATTGTTCTGCTTCTTCATCAATCATCAGCAATTTAGGTTGTTCTACTCCTTCCCATCTGTTCCCAAGAGTTAAATCAGAATCTGCTATGCTGTGGGGTTCAACGTTGGTACCTGCTCCTTCATCAACTGCTACCCTTCCTTTTAGTTCAGTGTTTGTCTCTACCTCACTTTCTCTACAATCCTCAGATCGGTTAAGCTCTTGGCTTTCCTTATCTTGGTTACCAGATTCTGTGAGATGAATTTCTACCAATTTCTGAGATTCCTTACTATGACAGTGTGTATCTGACAGCTGAGGAGCTGGGTCTGCACCAGATGGCCTTGGCTCTCCCAGGCCAAACTCAATTTTCCCTTCTGGAGGTATATCTCTATCAGTATCACTATGAAGGGAGCTAGAAGCCAAAGTATCTGTCTTTGGAGTAACAGTTTCACAAGACCTGTTTTGGCACAACCTTGTCAGAGGCTGTAAGAAGCTGTAGCTGCTGCCTCTGCTTTTTGGGTCTACTTGCTCTACAACTGGCCATTTCTTTATGGGCACCAGAGTTTTTTCAATGGGATTTTCAGGGCTGCTGACTGTAGGAGCAGGGCCCAAACCCTTATCTCGAGGCAACTCCTCTTGGGATGCACTGCTGTTCAAAGTAGAAGTGGAAGAGGTATCTGAACTTTCAGTTTTAGACAGGTTGCTATTTTCCCCATTGGCCAATGGTCCACCACCTAGCTTCGGCTCAGAGGCTCCCTTTCCACCACTACTGTAGAATATATCATACAGGTCCTTAGCATTGGCAGTAGCTAGGCATGAATTTCGCTTCTCCACTTTTTTGGCTTGTTCACTGAATACACTTGAGAGGGGTGGTGGAGGACGTACTAACACCGAGAATAGGGTCTGGTCCCGGTCGCTCTCACTCACCCCAGGAGCTGTTTCATCAGAAGGAATGGCAACTGGCTGTGCTGAGGCCATAAAGGCTACAGGCAACACTGGGTTCAAAATGTTAGGACCCAGAAATCCAGGACTGAGGGTCTGAGATACAACTGAGTTAGATTTTACTGGAGCCAAGACAGCATTTGCTTGAGCAGGAGATGGAGCAGTTGGATGAGGTATAACTGGGGGTGGTGGAGGTGGTGGTGGTGGTGGAGGTGGCGGTGGTGGTGGTGGTGGTGGTGGTGGAGGAGGAGGAGGAGGAGGTGGTGGCAACATTTGCTCAGGTATATGGGATGGCTCATTCCTTTCAGCCAGCACCAATTTTTCCTCTGGAGATCCTTTTAGAATCACCTCTTCCCCTCCAAAAGCTTTGGAGATGATATCTGGGGGCAAGAGCAGATCAGCTGAAGACTCTTTAACCACTGGCAGAGGTTTAGCAGTGGTTCCAGAGGACTTGATAGACAGAAAGGTATTAAGAGGAGCAGGCTTGCTCACTGTGGCTGAACCTGACTTGCGGAGTACAGTGGATGGGATAGGCAGGTTCGGTCGGATCTTAGTCTGTGTTGAAGTTGTAACAACAGGCATCCAAGGGTTGGTATGTGCAACAACAGTTTTCCCAGAAAGCTTAATTTTGATGGGCTTTGCCTTCCCAGCTTCAGCTTTGCCATCTTCTTTGTCCTTACTGTTTTCCACAATCTCTTCCTTAAGGACACTTGAATTTACCACTGAACTTTTTTCCTCTTCTTTTTCTGGCTTCTTCCAGCTGAATTTTCCAAAAGATGATGGTATTGGTGATTCCTTCTTTACCTCTTCTTTTACTTGTAGTTTGATGCTAATGTTCCTTTTATTTTCAGATTTTTCAGGGGAATTCCCACCCTCAGAGACTTGGTCCTCTAATTCTACAGAAACCTTGTCATCTTCCTTTACTTCCTTCACAATCTTTGCCTTTTTTTCTTTCTTCTCTTCCTTGGGTTTCTCACTAAGTTTGCGCTTTAGCTCATTCTGCCGTCGCCGTTCTGTCTCTAGGACCACAGCCAAGCCAGCTTGGCGGTCCAGATTCCGTCGCTCTTCATACAGTGGGTTTTCCTCCACATATTTCTGGGAAGAGAAAAGATGAAGGCTCAACACCTGGACAAACTACTATAAAAAAGAAAATCTTGGCTCCTATCACTGTTAGAATTCACTTAATAGAAATCCCAAGAGTAATATCTTTTCAAGGATTAATCCTTGAATAGATGGTTCTATTAGCGCAGCATTTCTTACTAGGATCAAGAATTTCCTAGATGTTACATGGAATCTGAAGTGTCAGTGACACTTTTCCAGCTCTGAAGTATGACAAAGTGAAAAAAATTACTAAAGGAAGTGAGAAACTACACAGGGTACAAAGGATACCAACCTTGTATTTCTCATTGTGTTGGTGACCCTTCACATGTTGTTCTCCAGAAATTGGATCCCCCAAAAATTCCTCACAGAGCTGGCAATAAAATCCAGTGATGGGAATTAGAAATTCAGAACCTAAAAGAAATAGAAGAAAGTTAAGGAAAAAAGTCTTTTCCACAAAGGGTGATAGCAACCAAAGGAAATCCCACCACTCTTTTGCAGTAAGAGGACCTTACCCAATTTGGAGTCAGAAATAACATTTAGATGAATCCAACAGCATAGCATTCCCCACCTAAGGCTTGAACTTTAGGTTTCTATGCTATCTACTTCTTGGAAACACGAACTGTGTGTCAGACCCACTCCTGTTACTGACTCTCTTCAAATTCTAACTAGCATTAAGCATCTTAGGAGACTTAAAAACTATACTCAGAAATAGTTACCCCACTACCATCTGGATGAGGATCTCTCATGTTGGTATTAAGTACTGAGGAATCTATCTTCTACAGCTCAAGTAGCAGCACTGACTATTTGCAAAGATAAAAAATTGAAACGTTTAAAGATAAACTTTTTACTTCTCAATTTATCCCTTAATAACAACACTTCAAATATATTTTATAGTTCTTAGTTGAAAAGGCAATTAAGTTATATACTTCTTACTGTCTTTTATGCTTGGATTTCAAATAAATAAGACTTTGGTACATAAGCCAATGACAAAGAGAGTTGTTGTTCTGCTATACTTCCAAGTGACTGTATGTATGCATACATGTGTGAGTGTGTGTGTGTATATACTTAACATCTATTTCTGACCATATAGGTAGAGATCATTGTCAGATAGATGGATCCCTTTACATCTTCAGGACTTGATACACTATTTTGCACACAGAAGGCATTCTTACAGCTTTGTTAAAAAGATGGTATGACTCATGCTATGCTGCTTCTAGCATCTTGGTTCAGAGACACCTCTTCCTCAGCTGAATATAAGGAAACCACAAAGGAGGTACGGAAGAAACATACCTTTTGCTGGAACAGTTATCCTGTCAGTGCGCTTTACAGCATCTTGCTTGGCCTCACTCTGAGTCTTTGAAGCCCAAGGTCTGTTGTAGGGATCCAGTGTCTATTTGCAAGAGGCAGAGGCGCTCACACAACAGCACTAAAAACTCAATGACCCATTTTTTTTTGTCTCTTTTTTTCCCCCACACATAAAATCAGGGAACCAGAAGTCCCTAGTTACCCAACCCACCAACCCACTCTGCCAAATGTTTAAATGGAAATCACCTGTGGAAAAGGTAAACACATGTTAGAGGAAGTACTAGAAACAGATAAAATGAAACAAAAAATCAGGTACTCAAGGAATCAAAAGAGGCAGAAGACTCACTTACACTTGTCATGATGTTTAGTTTTAGGCAGATCCCCTGGACTGAGCCCTGGGGATGGTATCTCCTTTACTGGTATCTCTTGGCTCTTCAGATTTGGGCTCCTGCCCATATGAGAATGTTTCACTTTCAGCTTTGTAATGCAAATGGGAGTACAGAAGTTGGAAGAGAATGAGGGTGATAGTGGCCACAGCAGAGGACAGGATACCTACCTGTGTGTGCTTCTTATTGTGCATGTGGGTGAAGAAGTCAAACATGGTCCCGCAGATGGTATTGCAGTCTTTGCACCAGTGACTGCCAGCATCATAATATTCATAAGCAGAAATGGGCTGATCAGACTGTTTAGCAGTTGGCTGGGGGCTTTCGGCAGGCTTAGGGCTCTTAACTCGGGACTTCTCATTATTTACCTTTGATTCCTATAGGGAAAAAAATCTGCACTTACAAAGAATTCAAGGCAGTCTAGATTTGTCTTTTCTCAGAAAGAAATAGGTGGCCATAATAATATGGCCATATAGCCATATTCCCAGTGCCCCAAAAGCTGTGTAAGTTGAGATAACCTCAAGAGAAATCTGTAACCATGGCTCAAAGAGAACTAATTAGACCCCACAGTTTATCACATCATGAATATACTTACATATCCTAAAATACCTCTAGAATTAGTTAAATTTAGAAATAATAATGACAACTAGGGAGGGATGAAAAACTGAAATGGAAAAGATAGCTAGCAGGTTAAACAAATGAAGAACAGATGATAGTGAACTCATTTATCACCTACGTATCCTATCATGGAAAGAGGGTCTGGTGCTGTGCCTGGGTAAAACAGACAGTAATCTATGTGAGATTACTTAAAGATATCGGAAAACATATTCCTAACTGCCTAAAAGGTCACCAATAGAATTTATCTTTGAGTTAATATGAATTCTCTTTTAAACAATTCCCCCAATGTAAGTACTTTAATATGAATTAGTCACCAAGCTGGGAACAAAAGACTTAGGAAATGAGAATTTGGTTAATGTTGGACCAGGAACAGAAAAAAGATAACTTTGTAGCATAGAGAATGTAAGTATGAATGGGTTCTACAGTAGACAAAATAAGGAAACTGGGCCCTGATATATTGGCTGGTGAGAAGAGAGGAGGCAAAGAAAGGGAAAAAATACAGACTTCAAAGATACTCTTTCCTAGCAAAGTCCTATGTACAGTCACAAAGATATCATGCCCAGCAGGTAGGGAAGGGGAGACTTCCTACACTACTGGTGGGAACATTAAATAGCACTATCATCTGGAAGATAATCTAGGAATACGTATTACATACCTCAAAATTCTGTATACCCTTTGACCTAGCAATTCCACTCCTTGACATTTATCCTAAGGAAATTATTATGTCAAACAAAGGTGATTTGACTGGTCAAATAAATTTTGCTATCTGTATGACAAAAACAACAAAAAAAAAGATCATTAAAATGATATTAGAGAGTGTACTTACTGACATGGCAAGAGGTATGTGCAAAGATATATAAATAGATGTAAAAGCTCAGAAGACCTCTAACCACTTTATATCACTTTTTCTTTCTTTTTTTAGTCATTTATCATTACCTAACATGTACTTGTTCATTTATTGTCTGTCTTCTATTTCATGAGAACATGGTCCAAGTCCAAATTTTTCCTTGCTATACTTTCCACACCTAACTAGTACCTGACTCTTTCTTGGTGACCAATAAATAAGCATTAAATGAACAGAAGAGTATTTGGAATAATATACATCAAGGCATGAATAGCTATCTATAGGTAGATGGAAATGTGGGTTTTGGTGCATGTATATTTTTCTGAAATGAACAGAAAGAGAAAAAAAAACTCAAACCAACTATACATTTTATGTTTTGTTTTGTTTTTTGGTGATGCTGGGGTTTGAGTTCAGGGCCTTGCATTTGCTAGGCAGGCACTCTACTGAACTATACACTTTATTTTGTTAAAAAAAATTTTTTTTGTATGTGTGGTACTAGGGTTTGAACCCAGGGCTTTGTACTTGCCAGGTAGGCACTCTACCACTTGAGCCATACTCCAACCTCCAGCTATACATTTTAAAGAGAAGTAAAAGGCTGGGGATATAGCTTAGTGGTAGAGTACCTGCTTATAGCATGCACAGGATCCTGGTTTAATCCCAGGCAATGCAAAATGAGAGAGAGAAAGAAAGAAGCAAAGAAGAAAAACTACAGGCATCTCCTATTACTGAGATGTAAACTGAATTCTAACATATCCGTGGTTAGCTTAAGAGTATACGTAATCTTAGTGTCTGCATATATACATATAAATAAAGATGTATATATACACACTAAGATAATAGAATATCATGGGGTTGGTGCATAAATAGAGGCTTAATTAATAAGTCAACAAAGGAATGGAACTCTTAATCTCCTCTCTCATCAAGGGTCTTAGACTCAAGATCCAGATATAAATAAACTGTAGTTCTATCTCGTTGAGAAAAAAGAACTCTTTCAGGAAGAAAGAAATAAGAGTTTGGTTGATAAATAATACAGTATATCCTCTGCACTACCCTCAACATTAACTGAGCATCAACTATGTGCTAGACATACTGGATGCTGTGAAAAACACAACTATAGTTATACTCTTTTATTCTCATGAAGTGCTCATTTAATGGCAAAGACAGACATGAGAACAGTCAGTAAATACGACAGAATGAAATAAATCTTACAAAGAAATAATCTATTATGAAAATGCCAAAGAAGGGCTAAATAAATCTGGGTGAAATTCTGAGAATGGTTTAGGGAAGAGAGCTTACTCATGTTGAGCTTTGGACTGGAGATGTGGCTCAAAGACTAGAGTGCCTGCCTGTTTTGCACATATGAAGCCAAGTTCAAAACCTAGACCCACCAAAAAAAAAAAAAAAAAAAGTGTCCAAGTTGAGCTTTAATGGATGAGTGGGTTTGGGAAAAAGACTAAGAGGATTATTAATGCAAAATCAGAGAGGTGTAACAGAATATTGAACCTACAAGTGAAATACTACAAGTTTTTTTGGAAAACTACAAGCTTTTTGAAGTTGTAGGAGTATAAGATGTAGTGTACTATTTCATGAGTATTACTTATTACTATGTGCAAAGCACTGAGTTGTGTATTGAGGACTATGTTGGAGAATGAGACAGATATAGCTCATTTTAAAGATCCTTTGGAACTTTAAAATCTAATTGGGAGAATACATATAATTAAATAATTATAACTGTCATCATAAATGTAAAGAAAGAAAATTATAAGATATTATGAGGGTGTGTATCAGGAAAATTTAATAGTGTGGAGAGTCACAGAAGTAATTTAAGCTGTGATCTAAAGGATAAATATGAGTTAGAAGAGAGGGTAAGGAAAGAGTTGGGCTTGCATGGTAAAGAAAGGAAGATGCAAAAAGGCATTAGAGAGGATGATATGTTTGAGCAATAAAAAAGGTAGTAAAGAGATTATAATGAACAATGCCAGGTGTGGTGACTCAAGCCTGTAGTCCTAGTTACTTGGGAGGCAGAGATCAGGAGGATCACAGTTTGAGGTCAGCAAAGTTCACAAGGCCCCATTCTCAACCAATAGCTGGGAGCAGTTGAACATATCTGTCATCCTAACTAAGTAGAGAGGCACAAATAGGAGGATCGTGGTCCTGCCTGGCCTAGGCATAAAGTGAGACCCCATTTCAAAAATAACCAACACAAAAAGGAATGGAGGAGTGGCTCAAGTGGTAGAGCTCCTGCCTAGGATGCATGAGGCCCCGAGTTCATGCCCCGACCCCAGTATTGCCAAAAAAAAAAAAAAATCATAGCAAATAAGAGGGACAGAAGGCATGCAAGAAGGCTGAAGTGGTAGGTAAGGGAGGCGACAATCACTGGCTGTGTGTGGAGAACGGGTTAAGAATGTAGCAGCACTAGCAAGACTGAAGTGCTTGGATGGCAATGGAGATGGTAATGTGAATATAGTTGAGACTTACTCCAGAGGGAGAGCTGATAGAATTTGTAATTGGGTATAAAGCAGTTAGGAAGAGGACAGCACAGGAATGCTTTTTCAGACTGTTGTCATGAAAACTGTTGGATATTGGTGCTAGTCACTGAAAATGGGTATGAAACTGAAGAAAGACAATATTGAAGGGAGGTTAAGTTCAATCATTCATTTAGTTTAGGAACATGGTGAATTTCAAGTGCTATGAGATAATGAAGTAGAAATGGTGAGTAGGCTGTTAGACACTCAAAGAATCATTTGAGCTCAAATATAAAACTGGAAGTTGTCACCTGATATTTTAATGACTTAGGGATAAAGAGCAGAAGTTGGAGAATGAGTCCTAGGAATAAGCCCTGGGAAAGATCTTGTACAGGAAGATAGGCAGCAAAAAAGGAGAACAACCTGCAGCAGCCAGTATACTAGGGATGTGACAGACGCCAAGGAATAAAAACATTTGTAGGAGAAAGTGGTTTATTTGTGTAAAATGCTGTTGGTTTGAGAACTGAAGTATGTCCACTGGCTTTAGCAACATGATAGTAACCTAAACGTGAACATGGTTGCTAAATATGGACTTCCAAAATGGTATACACAAGTTGTAAATAAGATTCAAAGCTAGACTGAGTGGTTTAAGGAGTAAATACTGTAATAAGAACATAAAAGACCTGAATATTAAGGATTGTGGATTTCTACTTGATAGGCAACAGGAAACTGCTGAAATTCTGAAGGCAAGTACCGCCGCCCCCCGCGCACACTCTGGAGCGTCCAGCGACCCTGTAGCACAGCCGACCATCGTAGTGAACAAAACAATGGGGTGGCGCGGGTTTCTGAATCATAAAAACTTTGTAGGAGAGAAAGTGGTTATTTGTGTAAAATGCTGTTGGTTTGAGAACCTGAAAGTATGTCCACTGGCTTTTAGCAACATGATAGTAACCTAAACGTGAACATGGTTGCTAATATGGACTTCCAAAATGGTATACACAAGTTGTAAATAAGATTCAAAGCTAGACTGGAGTGGTTTAAAGGAGTAAATACTGTAATAAGAACATAAAAGACCTGAATATTAAGGATTGTGGATTCTACTTGATAGGCAACAGGAAACTGCTGAAATTCTGAAGGCAAGTACAATGATCTGATCTATGCTTTAAGAAAATGACTCTAAGTCCAGCTACTTGGGAAGCTGGGATCAGGAAGATCATGGTTCAAAGCCAGTCTGGGCAAATAGTTTATGGGACCCATTCTCAAAATAACCAGAACAAAATGGGCTGGAGGTGTGGCTCATGAGATAGAGCACCTGCTTTGTGAGCACAAAGCCCTGAGTTCAAATCCCAGTCCCACCAAAAAAACAAAAGAAAATGACTAAAAAGAGTTAAAAACAGGTTGGAAAAAAAGGTAAGAAAAATGTCAACGTTTCTATAGAACTCCATGGGGAAAAAATATAACAAAAAAGGAAACGCTATTACCTTGTTGTTGGAGGAAGAGTTTGAGGATGACACTTTTTCTGGGCTCTTAGATTTTTCTGCTTTCCCAGGCTTCTCTGTAGGCTCTTTACTATCATTTGAAGTTTTCTGGGATTTATCAAAGATGTTAATTCCCAAGATCTGAGCTACTTTGTCCAGTTCAGATTGTTTCTTCTCTGCCTCTTCTGCCTCTTGTCGTAGCTCTGCAATGTCCTTCATAATGTTATCCTGAAGCCGACCCACAAAGACCAGAAGTGGGTCTTTGTGACCATCCTTTTCCCTTCGTTTCTTGCGCAGCATTTCCCCTGAATAGTCAAATGTCAACAAAAAGAGACAGATGAAGTAAATTAAAATGAGTAGTTTTTCATTTATGAGTACTTACCTATTAGGGCTATATGGTTACAAAATCATTTTCCACAAAAGTTTCTAAGAGCAAGTGAGACTCTCCTTCCATATGGGCTGGCTTAGTGAAACTTCTATGAAAGTGAAGGATAAGTGATCATATTATCTTTTGTGCAGGAGTAATCAGCTAAGGATCTATGATTGGCTTTAGGCACTCCATGAACTCCCAAAATAATAGTTAAAAGTTTGTGTATATATGTCCCCTAAAAAAAGATTAAGAAATACTATAATTATGAATATAGTAGCTGTCCTCTCTTCAGAAAGCCAAAGAATTCATATTTAGAGGGTAAAAAACATTCAAATGTACATATCTACACTGAGTTAGGTTTTGTCTCAGGCTCACCTAATGTTATCTCCTATTCCAAGTTACAGGTCCTCATGGATCAATTCTCACAAGATAAATAATGCCGTTTCTGATCCCCAAACAATCTAAACTACTATCTGTTCTGTCATATTATCATCAAGCTGCAGGATTTGGTAGCCTTATTGTGTTCTTTCCTCACTGCGAATGCAATGATAAAAATGATATGAGCATAGATAAAGAGATAGAATAAAAAGTGAGGTGACATGAAACATCTTGGACCAAAATGTAAGGAACTACTCAGAAAACGATGAGGGGACGTCAAAAGGACACTAGAGCCAATTCAAAGGGGCTCCCACTAGCTAAATTTGGGACAATTGAGCACGAAAACAAATATCGATAATAAATAACTTACTACTAATGAATGAGAAATCCATGAAGTCACACTGATATAAATGACTAAACAAATGGGCATAAGGGCTGGGAAGTTTCTCTTTATGGTAGAAAGCCAACTAGTAAAGGTACATGGGATGATGAAATTAGAAAATCACTACTTAATAACCACAATCACAATAACTGATTCAGGCAAGAAACAGCAAAGGATGCAAAAATCATGGCTAGAAGTCTGAGGAGCAATTGGATATTTACATAGTCTCAAAGTATTAACAAGATATTTATTAATTAAGAAGGATAAAACAGTAACTTTACAGTGGAGAAACCTAGAAGACACCTTAACCAAATTATGAAAGTTAACATCAATAGTAATAGGACACATCAAAACCTGACATGAATTCAGCATCACTTTTGTGATGTTTCTGCCAAAAATAAATAACCCAAACTTCATCATAAGGAAACACCAAACAATCCAAAAATAAGGGACATTCTATAAACTGTGACATTTTCTCTTCTAAAATGTATTATGAAACACAAAGGCTAAAAGATAAAAGAAGGGCTGGTGGCATGGGTCAAGTGGTAAAGTACCTGCCTAGCAAGCATGAGGCCCTGAATTCAAACCTCAGTAGCCCCTCCCCCCCAAAAAGATAAAAGATAGCAAATGTGACAAATACTTTTATAATTTCTCTTGCTAAAAGGACACTATTAGGGAAAATGAAAAAATATGACTAAAACCAACAGACCAGATGAAAGTATTGTATTATTAATTTCCTAATTTTGATTAGTGCACTTGGAATTCTTGGTTGTTAGGAAATACACCCTTAAGTATTTAGGGGTAAAGGAGCATCATATCTACAATTTACTATAAGAGAGCTCAGGAAAAATTATACAAACACATGCAGATTGAGAGAAAGAAAAGAGTATAATAAGTGTAGCAAAATATTAATAATCTGGGAGAGAATGCCTGAGAGTTTACAGTTATTACAACTTTTCTCTAGGTCTATGTGAAAAATTTTTTTACCCTCAGGTTCAGGGTACCAATCCTTCTCCACTTGGATCTCCTACTCAAGTCATTACAAAAAGCAGCTATGAAAAGGGCTGTCCGATACCTTGTTGTTTATGAAGCCGCTCCAACTCAGTTCTGAGATAGGACATTTTTTTCTGGCGGGCTTCCCGATCACTCTTTAATTTTTCCCTCTCTTCAATAACCTGCAAAGTAAAACATGATAAGAGAGTCCCTCAGCCTCTAACATCCTCCCCATTTTCTTTTCCTTCTTCTTTTTGGTGACAAGGTCTTGCTAGGTAGCCCAGGATGACCTTGGGTTCATGAACCTCCTGCCTCAGCCTCCTGAGAGCTGGTACTACAGGTATGTGCTGCCATACTCAGGTTCCTCCCTCTTCTATTGTTCTCTTCAAGAAAACTTCATGCTGGGTATCTTAAAGATCAAATGCCTGCCCACAAAGGCTCTGACTTGGTAGTCAAAGTGGCATTTCATTCTGATCCAAGTTCTAAAAGAGAATTTCATACTTCTTTTCAGAATTATACTACCCAGAAAGTATTGTGCTTATGCAAGAAGCATCTAAAGCCACTGACAGCAACTACTGGATAGTGTTTCTGAGCCAAAACAGGAGCACAAAAAAGGGAATATGTGTTATGGGTCAGGCATATACTAGTTGCATAACATATTTCATGTTATTTAATCTTCACATTTTCTCTTATTTTACACTAAAAAAATTGAAGTCATGCAGGATTAAGTAATTTACTTAAAGTCACACAGTAAGTAGACTTAAAATAACTGTCCTAAATCTCATGATCTTTCAAGCATGTTCCTACCACCAAATGGAAAAAGCATTGTCTTAACAGGCAGTGAGAAAAATTGTTAGTCGTGTCTTAAGTGCTAGGGTCATAAAGGAAAAGTGTAAGGAAAGGGCTCAGTCTCCAGTGTCTCTGAAGTCTTGTCTTCTCTTTATTGAACCTATTCTCCACTTTCCCAAAAGATTTCAATAAAATTAAAGGCTGAAGCTCAGGGTATTTGAACATAATAGAAAATTACGAGGAAGTATTTATTTGTCTTCAAAGGATTAGCTGAATTTATTTGCTTTGTGGATTTTACTTGGTCTTTGTGAGACAGGGTCTCACTATGTAGCCCAGGCTAGTCTTGAACTCGTGATCCTCTTGCATCTGCCTTCTGAGTGCTAGGATTACAGGTGTGGACCACCACACCTGGCTAATTATTATTAAACTGGAAAAAAAAGAATATGGAAGACTTCAATGTTCCCAGCTTCCACCCTCAGTGTTCTAAGACCATTAATATGAAGATGAATTTTTTTAAAAAGGAAAAAATGGTTTATCTCACAGTGGGATTTACAGCTAGACTTGTTCAGCTGTAATGACTAAACATGTGAGAAGGTCAAAGGGGTCATACACATTACTTAAGGTAATGACGGTAACTGCCAAAGGACTTAAAAGTGGAAGAGCCTTATAAATTTTCAGCCCCTTCTAAAAGATAAGCACAGATTTATACGTTAAAATAGAAAACTCAAGCACAGGATCCCCAAAGCTAATACTCACTTTCTGCTTCTGGGAGGCACGGTTCTTTTCATCAGAGATCTTTTCTGGATTATATCTTACGAGTGATGGGATAGACACTTGGACAGGCACCTGGGCAGCAGGAATTGAACCTAGCACTGACTCCTTCTTTTTGGGTTTATCAGGAGTCACAGTGGGGATTACACGAAGATTGGGACGGCTACGAGTAGCTTGTTTGGTTATTGGCATTATCCTATGTGGTTCGGGTAGAGGGTGGTTTGATGGTTGAGAGGCAGGGTACATGGGCCACCTCGAAGCTGCATATGCCATATAGTGCCGATAGGTGTCAAAGGAGGCAGGGGGAATGGCAGCTCCCTGGTCATTTGGAGGTATCTGAGCTGCAGCAAACTGAGAGGGCCTTGGCATGTGAAACTGAGATAAAGAAGCAGAGTGTGGAAGTCTAATCGGGGTAGATGAAGCTGATGGCAACATACACCTGACTGCAACAGATGACTGAAACCCACTGCCAACCACTTCTGGTCCTGAAATATGACCCACTGAATGGTCAGACTTTAGGAATGGAGAGCTGTTTTTTGTGAGCAGGTAAGGATCTACAGGGGAGGCTGGGTGTGGATGAGACACCTCTGGGGAGTGGGTATTGCTATGGTGTGCCTCCCTGCTTTCCAGTCTGTGGGGATCTGAGGAGTGCCGATCAGCTGAGAAACGGTGGTCAACTGAGGAACTGCGGTCAGCTGAAAAGTGTCGGTCAACAGAGGAACGATGGTCAGCTGAAGAGCGTGATGATGGCTTCTTGCCGTGCAGTCGTTCCTGGGTTCGAGCAGCCAGTTTACTAATCTCTGCTACTCCAATATCCAGCCCTATGGTCTTAAGCAAGTCATGAATTTTGGCATATTCTGGATTGGTCTCTTCAAGCGATTCTAGCTTTACAGCTGGAGTTGAAGAGGGCAGAGAGCTTGCCTTCTGCCTCATAATGTCATTCTCAGAGCCCCCAATGGACTTTGGTGGGGATTCTGCCTTTAAATCCTCTTCTTCTTCCCCATAGAGAAATTTCTCTTCATCCTCAATGTCAGGAAAGCTACATCGTCTTTTTTCCTGTGTACTGGTAGAATCAGCCAACATGCTCAAAATGCGGGAAAAACCACTGCCATCCTGGCTAGCTCTCTCGTGGGGCAATAAGAAGTCGGTGTGTCGCTCAGGTCCCTCAGCCTTCAAATCCAAATTATCCTTGTGACACAGAAAACTTCCAAATTTTTCTCTGAGAGGACTACTGTCTTTGGGCACCCCAGTGAGGGCACCCCACTGGTAAAGATTGCCTTGAGGCTCCTTCAATGGAGTCTCCACTGTAGTCCCCTTGTTTTCAATCTCTGAGGCAAAAGCAGCAATAGCACCACTTAGTGGAAGAGATGAGTGTCCAGAATAGGGAGGGTGATCATGGCTGGAGCTGGTACTGCTGGAAAAATTCTCAGGCTGCAAAGACAAACACAACTGTTTTAGTCCTATGCAGAATCTGAGAACGCTAATAACAGATAAATGCTTAGCATCCTTGTCCTTCCTGAATTAATGGTGAGATGTAAGTGTAGACAAAAGGGAGGGAGAGTATTATTATTATTTTTTTGGCAGTACTGAGATGAACTCAGTGCTAAGTAGGCGCACCACCACTTAAGCCACTCTGTCTGCCCGAGACTATTCCTTTTTTTTTTTTTTTTTTGCGGTACTGGGGCTTCAACTCAGGGCCTTCACCTTGAGCTACTCCACCAGCCCAGTTTTTTGTGATAGGGTTTTTTGAGATAGGTTCTCTTGAACTATTTGCCAAGGCTGACTTCGAACCGAGATCCTCCTGATCTCTGCCTCCAGAGTAGCTAGGATTACAGGTGTGAGCCACTGGTACCCAGCTCCAAGAGTATTCTTAATGAAGTTCAAGATATGAGTCCCCATCTCTCCAGATCTCTCCAGATATCTCTGCTGTAGCAAGGAGAAGTAGGAAATAAGGCAGATTGGATGGAATTCTCGAACCTTTGCCCATTTGTTTTAGTGCTTATCAAGGAACATGAAATCAAAAGGATTTTAAAAATATCTTAACTTGTTTTCATTACTATGGATGCCCATAACAAAAAAGCATATACAAGTGGTGCAACTTTGAAGTAGCAACAGGAAACTCTGGAACCCTAATTGATCAGCCTTTCCCTGCTTCTCTATGTGCTCTTAGACAATTGCTCAGAAGCCTTTAGCTATACTACTGACCTTGCCTGACCATCTTTTCACACATAAGAAAAGAAAACAATATCAAGTCTGGGAATGCTGAAGTGACTTATTTAAAAATCATACAGCAAGTTAGTGGCAGACGTAGGTCCAAACTCAGAATCACTTGATTTCTGGTCTAGTATCTTATAACACACACATTTTGTTTCCTCTCTAAAGAAAAATGAGGAAATTTGAATCATTTTCTCCCTTTGCTCTTTAAGCTTCATTCCAAGAAATCCATATTCAAAGACTGTTTTAATGCTAGCCAATTTAAGGGAAAAAATTATAGTAGATACTCTTCAAAATGTCTGTTTAGAAATCCTAAAATAAGGCATATAGCTTTGCTGGAGAATCCTGGAAGGTGTAGCTTATAGGCACAACAATGTTGGTTTAGAATATATTACCCCCAGGAAAGTAACCACAGTTCAAGATATTAGAAAGATTAGCAAAAGACCCTAGAAGAAATGCAACAGAGACCTGCACAGAAGGTTCCATGTCCCCCTCAATCCGCTTCTTCAGAATGGACTTCTTGGGCATCACAGATACATCCTCAGGCCGATGCAATGAATATCCTGGCTCTGATGCTGTTAGGACACCTGACAATCCAGGAATGGAACAGCTAGTGCTACCACCATCAACTCCCACCAGCTCCTGACTCAAGCTCCTACTTCGTTCCTCCTCTTCTTCTCGCTTTCGTCTGGCAAGGTCCAGCTCTCGAAACTCAGGATCTAGAAATCTAGGACTTGGGCTTCGCCTACGCTGTCGATAGTTGCGAGTCCCTGATGTAAAACTTGAATGATCCCCGCCCATGCTGTGTATCTTCTCTGTGTCATCATAACGTGGCCGTTTGGCCTCCCGGCTCTTTTCCTCAGATCGTATAGAGTAGGAGCCTTTGAGTTTGTCTCTATTCCGTTCTGTTCCCCGCAACAATTCATCATGACAACTGATATGGGAACTATAATCAGATCGATGCAGGAAAGTTTCTCTTGTTCGGTAGTCCTCATCAAGTTGTCCCAAGAAGGGACTAAGAGGCCCCTCCTCCCGAGAAATATATCGCTCAAGACCCCGAGAGCACTGGGAGCTTCGTGTGAAGACAGAATCATCAGTCAGGTCATCCCTGCTGAGGAGGAGAGATAAGAATTACTGAATATAATGGCAAGGGTAAGACTTGACAAGGCAAAGAGACTGATAACTGACAAGAAAGCTATAGAATGTTCAGAGCAAAAGACCGTAATCATGAAATCCAGCAACATATCTGTATATAGTACATGGAACATTTCCTCTTCTTTTCCCCAGGGCACAAGCTGCTTCAGTCTAATCAAAGACTCATATTACCAATACATCTCTTAGGCTAATTTCTTTGATTTGACTGAGGATGCAGAGTACTATATTAGGATTTGAAAGATGTGAAACACCACTAACACTACAAAGAGTCCCACTTTAGACAACTCCAGACCATCTGAATTCTACATTTTTACTACCAAAAGGGTGGCCTGGACTACCAGCATTTGCACTACCTGGAAACTTATTAGAAATACAGATTTACAGGCTCTACCCCAGGCCTAATAAACCAGAATTTGCATTTTAATGAGATTTCCAGGTGATTTGTATGCACTTTATTTCAAGTTTCAGAAATAACAGTCAACAATAGGAGTTTTTAAGCTGTGTTCCTCAGAGATTTTTTTTTTTTTTTTTTCAGTGCTGGGGATTGAACCCAGGGCCTCATGCACAATAGGCAAGCACTCTACTACTGAGCTACATCCCCAGCTCCAAGATTCTAAAGAGTACTTAGGAGCTGCTAAAGGAAAGAGATGTTAGAAAAGCAGAACCAGAACCATACCAATAGGGCTCTACCTTCTACCCCATTCAAATTATACTAGTCCCAACTTTATGTCTGTTTATTAAAGTTTTGTATGACATCTTACTTGGAAAAAAGGGTTTCACTGTGGAGAAAATTAAATATCATAAGACTGTCTGTTTTGTCACCTTCTTTCCGGTCTCCCCTGGATATCCAAAAGCACTGTTAATCATGGGCCCAAAAATAAGTAAATAATGGGTGTGTGTGTGTGTGTGTGTGTGTGTGTGTGTGTATGTATATATATATATTACATATATATATATATATATTATTACATATATATATATATATATATATATATATATATATATGTAATATCTCCTGGAGTTTGAACTCAGGCAGGTGTTCTATTGTTTGAGTCCTCACTATATATTATCTCACAGAAATACTGAAGGAAATATACAGGATGAGATATCTGTCCTTTCAGCTCGGAGCTCTATGTCACACATAACAGATCTTATCTTTTTGGGCACTATAACAATAAAGGTCTATAACCCAAAAAAGAAAACTTTTGATTTAAGTCATAGATGGAAACAAAGATCCTCTTCTCACTGTTTAGTATTCAATTTTTAAATAATCTGGATGAAAATGAAAGTGCTTCCATGTTTCTCACATTCCAGAGTGAATTAGTACCAGAGGATGGTAATTATTGGTATCTTTTGTTGTTGCTGTGGGTTTTTTGAGACAAGGTCTCTCTATACAGCCCTGAATTCACAATCCTCATGCCTCAGCTTCCCAAGTGCTGGGACTGCAGGCAAGTGCCACCACGCACAGCATTATTGATATCTTGTACTGCTTCTAGTAGTCATTTTGGGGGCTGTTGTGTTTCTAGAAATGAAATTCTTATCACTGGGAATACCTTAACAGAACATCAAAAAGTTGCCTTTCCTTATTTACCAGCCTTGGCTCTGTTCAAAGTTGTAGACTTGAGCAAGACTATCAAGGTTAAACTTTATTACCTCTTCTGCAAAGAATGTCACCTGTGGGAATCCAGATTCCTGCTTCCCATTTCCTCCCCAGGTATGTGAGGAATTCTGAGGTCTCAATATGCTATGCAATCTCAAGGAATGTAAATAAGCCAAAGATGATCTCTGAAATTAGACATAACTGGGTAAAAAAAATTTGTTCTGTAGCTCTGTCAACCATCAACACATTTATTTCCAAGGTGGAATTTTCATGAGTTGAGTCACTCCATTGCTAAAACACTATCTACTATACAAAAAAGTCTCATCATTAGCTATATGGATAGTAGCAAGTTCATCTCTCATGTTCACAGCATGAACACGAGCTAGAACTATTACATACCACCACCAGGTGAAATACTAGTCCAAGATCTAATCCAATACTAAATCTCAAGAACCTGGAAATATGGCTGGTGTAGTGGTGCAAGTGGTAGAGCATCTACCTAGCAAGTATGAGGCACTGAGTTCAAACCCAAGTATTGCCAAAAAAACAAAACATTACTAAGAAGCTAGAAATAGTAAGATGGCTCTCTGAAAGCCTCAGTCCAGCCTTGGAATCTCCCAAACTATAGGAAGAAATTAGAAGAATCTCCCAAACTATATGAAGAGATATAGTCAGAAATCAGGTTGCCTTCTAGAAACTCAGTTCTCCTTCCTCAGGATTCTAAAGGGAACAGAGAGAAAACTGACTGCAATAAGAATGATTCCTAAGAAAGATCACATTGCACATTGTCCAGTGGTGAACAGACTCTAAAAATCTTGGTTAATCTGTGGATATAGCTCAAGTGGCAGTGCTCTTGCCTAACAACTGCAATGCCCTAATATCAAACCACAATACCACTAAAAGCCTTGGTTAAGTTCAAGTACAACTCTTTTCCACGCTGGAGGTCTGGCTTAAGAAGTAGAGTGCCTTAGTTCAAATGCTAGTATGGCCAAAAAAAAAACAAGTATGACTCTTTTTGCTGTTCTAAAAATTGATTGTTTGGGCTGGAGGCATGCTACAAGTGGTAGAGTGTTTGCCTCACAAGCATAAGGTCCTGAATTCAAACTGTAATACTGCCAAAAAAATAAAAATTGATTGTTGAATGTTGAAAATTGATTGTTAGTAATGCTTACACAAGAGTCTGCTGCACCATTCTACTTTTTCCCCAGCACTGGGGTTTGAACTAGGGGTCTTGCATGTCAGGCAGATGCTCTACCACTTGAGCCACGCCCCCAGCCCTCTACTTGTTTTTAAGTATTTTTTATAAAAGTTATACAAAATAATTGTTTCATGATGACACTGTCATACGTGTCTATAATGTACTTTGTATTCATCCCCATTATCTTCTCTTGTCCTCTTCCTCCTTCTGCTGGTGCCCTTCTTCTTCCTAAATAGTCCTTCTCTCTACTTTTTTTTTAATTTCTTTTTTTTTTTTTTTGCAGTACTGGAGCTTGAACTCAGGGTCTACACCTTGAGTAACTCCATTAGACATTTTTTTTTGTAAGGTTTTTACTAGATAAGGTCTCTCAGACTATTTGCCCTAGCTGGCTTTGAACTGTGATCCTCCTGAGTAGGTAGGATTAAAAGTGTGAGCCTCTGGGGCCCAGCTCTCTACTTTTTTTGTTTACAAATTTCTATAAAACTAACTAAAAATGTAGCGCTGAGGGTATATTTCAGTGGTATAGCACTTGCTTAATACACATGAGGCCCTGGGTTCAATCCTCAGCATACACATGCACATAAAAGCTTGTACACCAATGTTCATATCATTATTCATAATAGCCAAAACAGTGAAAACCCAATGCTATACCAATAGTGAATGGATATTCACCATTGATGAATAAACAAAACGAGTATATGCATACAATGAAATTTACTGGCAATAAAAAGAAGTGCAAACATGAATGAACCTTAAAAATATTATGCTAAGTGAAAGAAGCCAATAACAAAAAAATCATGTATGAGTGCATTAACAGTAAATGTTCAGAACAGGCAAATTTATAGAGGCAGAAAGTAGATTAGTAATTGCCTAAGACTGGGAGTAGGGTAAGGATATCAGGTTTTTTTGCAGTAAAAAAAATGTTATAAAATTGATTAGAGTGGTAGATGCACAACTCTGAGAATATACTAAATGTTGCTGAACTATTTATACTTTAAATGGGTGAATTGTGTGCTATATTAATTCTACATCAATAAAATGATTAAAATGGATGATCAAAAAAAGATCCTTCAGGGCTGGGGGTTATAATTCAGTGTAGAGCACTTGCCTAGATACATAAGGTCCTAGGTTTAATCCCCAGTACTACAAAATAAATAAAATAAAAGGCCTGTAGAGCCTAAACGCTCCATTTTTTTTCTTTGCTGAGTGCTCAAAATGCCCTGAGAAAGCCCTTTGCTTCTGTCTTTTCTCTAAGTATATGAAAAGGGAAAAAAAAATTCTATTCTATCAACCTCTATAAGGTTAAAAAGGAGTTAAGAGGTAAGAATTCCGTAAAAGGAACCTTTAAGTTGCAAAGTACTTTAACAGGAGAAACTGACCTTATCTCCACTAAGTCTTTAGAAGCCAAGTGTCTTAGAATTTTTCACACAATTTGTTCATGCTCCCTTTTCAGAACAAGTTATTGTCAGTTACAGGCTGCGAAGGTAAGGATACAACCTGGTAACTTGGCTGTCACCAAAACCTGATAATGAGACTTAACAGATTCATTAAAGGAGAAAAAAGAATATTGGGGTCTCAGGAAAAAGAATAAACATGACCTATCAGAAATGACCTATTTAATTAGTTGAAGAGTAGACTCACTGTCAGGAGACATCCTGAGTATGCCAATGGTCCTATGGCCTGGTTTTAATGGACAGTAATTATTCACACAAACCACATTGCATAAGAGAAAAGGAACACAAATGGGCAGGTGGTAAAAATTTAAGAATGACCCTATAATTTCCATTAGACCCTTAATTTCACCTTCTCTGAAGTAGACTTCTTTCTTGTAAACATATGACTTTGGAAAGATTATAGTCCTAAACACCCTAAGAGGGAAATTTATTTATTTTTAACTTAAAAAGACAACAGGTTATCTGAAGCATGTGTATATAACAAAGTTCATGCAAAGAGGAGGTGACAACCTAAACCTAATCAGAAGAAATGTTGAAACTACCTCAAAACCTCAGCAAGGAAGGAAGAGAATCACACCATGCACTACCTACCCAGACCGCCTACTCAATCATCTCCCAAAATAGAAGCAGACGGAAGGGCAAGAGCTGTTGCCTCAATTAAATAATATAGTCACATACCTTGAAGCCCTATCTTCAGAAGCTTCACTATTATATAACATAAGACTATCCTGCCTTGCTTCACTGCATCCACAGTCGCTGGAGCTTTGAAGTAAATATTAAATAGCAGCATTGTCCTCAGACTTCCTGCCCAGCTGTCCCCACCTGCCTATGTTCTATACACTACTGAACAGTATCAGTATTAAAGAATATCTCCTTGATTTATTGCTACTGCTAATCATTTATGAGAACTCCCAAGGTGCCAAACAGGGACCATACAGACATGCTCTCCAGCTCTGAGAAAGTGCTATTCTTCACTTCTTCACTTTTATGAAGTAAAAACACCTATATGATTATTTACTTCCCATATAAAACTTCCTAATACCTGAGGTTTATGTTCAACACTCTGGTGTATTTGCTGTTTCTTAAGTACTCAATAGTTATAAACTAGTAACTGAACTTAAACATTTTTAAAAGATCTCTTTCTATTATTGCTTTATATATTTAATATACATACATAAATTAGACAATTTATCTAAACTCTTTCTGAATCTATATCCTGGCTTGGACAAGTTTAAAAAAAATCATTAAAAAAAAAAAAGACTTCAGGGCTAAGGATAGTTCAGTGGGAGGGGACTTGCCTGGCACACCCTGGGCTTGATCCCAAGCACCGCAAAAACAGAACAAAAAAAAGATTTCAGCCAGGCATGGTGGCCTGCTCCTTCAATTCCAGCTATTCTGGAGGTGGAGGGAGGAGGATCATGAGTTCAAGGTCAACCTTTGCAAAGGTTATCAAGAGATCCTATCACAAAGTCAAAATTAAAAAAAAACGGGGGTCTGGGGGTGTAGCTCAAGTGGCAGAGCGCTTGCTTAACAAGTTCAAGGCCTTGGAGTCAATCCATAGTACTAGAAAACAAAATTCCTTTCTTTTTATTTTGGTGGGACTGGGGTTTGAACTCATTACCTTGCCACTTGATAGGTAAGTACTCTACAATTTGAGCCATACTTGGAGTCCTCTGAAAAGTTTTGCTCAGAACTTTCCTTTGCATAAAGGACCTCTCACAGTTCCAGAATTTTAGAATTAATGTTATTTCAACTATTTCTGATTTGGGGGACTCTGATTATGATCCTTTAGCCTTTTCTACTTGTACCAAGATACTTTTTAAAAGTCTTTTCCTCCATTCATTCATTCCACAATTCATTGAGAAGCAGCACAGTTTATCAACATCAACACACTCTCCCCACTCAGAAAACCTTTTCCAGTGTTATACTTTTTACTGGAAACATAGGAAATAACTTCAGTACTGGTACAATCATTCAGAAAACAGCAACTTTTTTGTTTTCTAGTACTAGTGCTCCTTGCCCTAGCTGAAGCCTACCTGTCCATGTCCTCCAAATTATCCACTGGTGACCCCAGCCGATCACTAAGCCGTCGCCGTTCTGGTGTGCTAACACAGAAGTGGTCATTGCCAACAGTGATCCTTAGGCTCTGTTCCAAAGAGTCAGAACGCAAACCAGGAGAGCGTCTCTACAAAGGTTAAAAAAAAAAAAAATCATATGCTAGTCAATATGGTGAACACAACCCTATACCAAAAAATGTTCTCCCTACTCATAAAGTTGTGGTCCACCAAGGTGAGAAAAAGCTATGGCAAGAAACCACTCCAAGAAATAAAGCACTTAAAGCCAGATGTGGTGGCTCACACTTGCAATCTTAGCTTCTAGGGAGGTAGAGAGTGGGAGAATGGCAGTTTGAGGACAACCCAGGCAAAATGTTTGGGAGACCACATCTTAACAGAAAAAACTGGGCATGGTGGCACACGCCTGTCATCCCAGCTACTAGCAGGAAGCCTCAAATAGGATTGTGGTCCAGGCCAGCCAGGCAGAGAGCTTACCTTAAAATAACCAGAGTAAAAAGGGCCAAAGATGTGGTTAAAATAGTAGTGCTTAGGAAGCACAAAGCTCTGAGTTCAAATCCCAGTACTGCCAAAGAAATCACTTGAAAATTATTTTCATAGAGATAAAAGCCCACATGTTCAATCCTCCCAAACAGTAATGTCTCATTCTTACAGGGCGTAGGAACAGAGAAGGAAATAAAGTTCCTGACTTCAGAAACTATAGTAGACAAGGCAAAAATGGATTTTTAAAAGTATTTCTGATACTGATAACTGCTATAAAGTCATTAAAATACTATGAAAGACCAGGGAAAAGGAGGATTTACTTCAGATAGAAGTTAAAGAAGACTTCTGTGATGTTAAAAGAAGATGTCAGTCTTCCCAAGAAGACATCAAAGGCTGTTTTAGGCAAAGGGAAGAACCACCTGAGTAATTAAATTGGCATGTTTTCAGTAACAGAAAGAAAACCAGTATGACTGCAGCAAACTAACTGAAAAGTTAGGCAGAAACCATGATTAGAAAACTTGGATTTTATTCTTAGTGCAGTAAGAGCTCCAGGAGGGTTTTTTTTTTTTTTCAGTACTGGGGTTTGAACTCAGGGCCTACACCTTGAGCCACTCCAGAGGGTTTCTTGAATTATTTGCCTGGGCTAGCTTCAAACCACAATCCTCCTTATCTCTGCCTCCTGAGTAGCTAGGATTACAGGCATGAGCCACAGTACAGGAGGGTTTTAAGCAAAACAGTGATGTGATTTGACTTCATTTTTCTTCCAAATGCTTGTCTACTCATCCTCCTCACCCTCTTCAGGTCTTTATTCAAAGGTCACCTTCTCAGGAGGCCATCCATAGCTATCCTATAAAAAATGTTAACTTCCTTCTCTGTTTTGTCTTTAGCACTTAATCACATTTTACATACCATGGAATTTCTAACTTTCCCACCTTAGTTGTTATCCAGCTCATCCTGCTAGAATTTCAACTCTATTAGGGTATTAGTTTTTGTCTGGTTTGTTCACAGTTGTGCCTAACATATGGTAGATGTTCAATAAATTTTTATTAATATGTAAAATGAGGGTTTAAAATGATTTTGATTGCTGTATACAGAAAAAAACTACAAAGCAGAAAGAGTGAAATATAAAAGAGCCAAATGCAGCAATCCAGAGAGGAGCTAACAGGGTTTATACCAGAGTGAGGGTAGAAGGAGGATAGTTTTGGGGTTGTAATTCAGAAGTACAGATAGCTGGGCATGGTGGCTCATGCCTATAATCCTAGCTACTCAGGAGACAGAGATCAGGGATGATTGTGGTTCCAAGTCAGCCTGGGGAAACAGTTCTTGAGACCCTATCTCAAAAAGACCCTTCATAAAAAAAAGGGCTGATGGAGTGGCTGAAGGTGTAGACCTACACCTTCAAGTGTGAGTTCAAGCCCCAGTACTGCACAAAGAAAAAAAAAAAAAAGTAGTATAGCTAGCAGGTTAGACAGATAAAGTTAATCTCACAGAGGACATGTTTGACTTGAACAATGGATACTATTTATTGAGAAAGAAGCCTGGAGCAAATAAACTACACTGAAAAGAAAAAGCACGTTGTGGAAAACATAGTATTCTGTTCTTGCTTCCTCTGTAGTAACTGACACTAAGACTGACACAGCTCTGCTTTGAAAATCTTAACAAAGTGACAAGTCAATTCAGCTATTACCAGAGTACATGGGTAGATGTTAGAGAACTCAAGAAAACAGAAACTTTGTCACTGAGTTAACAAAAAGATTGATGAACTGAAAATAGAAACAAATTCCAAACATCAGACCCTGTGTGAGGCTCTACTAGAATGGTGGTGACCTAAGAGGTCAATATCATGTCTAAATTAAAACTTAAAAAAAAAATGTGGCGCTGGGGATGGAACCCAGGGGGTTTCACACGTTAGGCAAGCCCCCTTCCACTGAGCTACACCCCAGCCCCACACATTAAACTTCTTTTTCTTCCTCCTTTTATTTTATCGTTTTTACATTTACTTACATGTGTATACATTGTTTGTGCCACCTCCCCTCACATTAAACTTCTTAATCTCAAACTGTTTCTCTAGGAGAAAACATAGCGGGCAGCGGGAACCAGACGTGTAGGTTAAGTGACAGCTCCATCACTTAGCGGTGTTACCTTGGCCAAGTTACTTACACCTCGCCTGGGTGTGTTCCTCGGCTGTAAATGAGGAGTAACTAACTGCTCCACCTCAAAGGGCTCTGAGGACCCAAAGGCGTGAGCGAAGAGCTCAGCACAGCTGGGGGTGGGGGAGGGAGAGCTATCACAATGATAGTTAGGGACACTTCACTTCGGGGAGGACGCAACCCAGTTCAGATCCACTATCAGCTTAGGGTTCTTAGCCTGGTCCAACTCAGGCTTCCTAACTAACGCGCCCCAAAGACGCTGTGCTAAGCTCAGGAGGAGCCCGCGGAACCGTCAACTCGCCCCAAAGTACCAGGTACCCGGGCTGGATGAAATTCCCCCGGCCCTGGCCAACTTTCCCACCCCTCCGCATAGGGGCAGGAGGAGGAGGAGCGCACCCTGCCGCCCAGGCGCCCGAGCGGGTCCCGAGTCCGTTACTGGGTAAACGAAACCCCCGGGCTGGCGGGATGCGGAGGGGCTTGGGTGGAAGCGGGAACTCCGGGAGCAGGGGGCCGGGTGGGGGATCGAGGGCGTCCCAGGCGAGGGGTGGGATTACCCGGCTGCCGCTGTCGCCTGAATGGTCTCCGCGGCCGTCCCGGGCGAAGTCGGCGCGGGACTCTCCCCGGCTGCTGCCTCGGAAGCCAGTCGGGCCCGGCGGGAAGAGTCGGCGGCCCCGCGGTGGCGACGGGGAGCCGCGACGGGCCCGCGGCGGGGAAGGGGAGACGCGACGACCCCGTGGCGGGGACGGTGAGGCCCGGCGGCCGCGGGGTGGGGACGGGGAACCGCGGCGACCCCGCGTTGACGGCGACGGCGAGGCCCAGCGACTGCGGTGCCCGGAGGGCGAGCGGGGCCGGCGAGCCGGGGGCCGCAACGAAGAGAAGCAAGAGGGCGGCGGCGGTGAGCTGCGGCGAACCGGGCCTGAGGAAGAGCCGGAGCTGCGGCCGGTGCGCGGGCCGCCCCCGCCGCCGTCTTTAAGCCGGTGCGAAGAGACGGAGGATCGGGAGCTGCTGCGGTACATGGCTTCGGAAGCAGCGGCCACGGCAGCACCTCCGACCCAGGGCGCCCTAGACTCGGGCCGTGAGCGCGCCGCCGCCGCCGCAGCAGCAGCAGCCGCCGCCGCCACTGCCGCCGCGCGCCGCCCCCGCCGCGGGCTCGGCCCCCTCCCCTCCCCTCCGCCGCGCGCCAGCCCTGAGGCCGGGCCAAGCGCGCCTCCGCGGCTGCGAGCACGCGACCGACGCGAGCACGCGACCGACACACCCCCGCGCCCTCACAGGCTCCCCGCTACTCTACTCAGGGAGCGGTCACAGGAGCCCGGAGAAGTGGGGAGGAGCGCGTAAGCGCCGCGAGGCTGAGCTAGGGGTGGGAAGCCGAAGCGCGCGCCCAGCGTGCCACAAGCCCCGCCCCCCAGCAAGATGGCGGCCGCGGAGCCACCCACTCTCCCGCCCCCTGGCGAGCACGTGACGCCGACGCCCGTGGTGGGCGGGGCGGAAGAGTGGAGTTAGCTGGCGAGGACCCCGCTCTTCCGGAGGCCTCGGGATGGCAGGTGCCCAGGCTGTGGGAGCATCTGCGTGCTTTCTCGGCCCTCTCAGTCTTGTTGGTGTATGAGGGGACAATAAGTGATTATAGTGAAGTTTGTAAAATGACCCCCAAAACTTTAGCTCTGTCCGAGCTTACGCACGCACCTCGGCACGAGCGTGACCATCAGTTCCCCGAGCAGTCCGCCCAATTTCTAGAGGTTTAAATCGAGGATGGGAAGGTGCGGGGTGTGGGTGGCGAGAATCAGGCAGACACGTGTCACAGTAGATTTTTCAGAAATTTGACCAATTTGACTGTGGTCGCGGAGGAGGCCATGTCACCACGGGCAATTTTTTGTGAGAGATTCAGACCTCTTCCCCCGACCCCATTCTAAAACTAGAACGTTCCCAGATGCCAGTCCTGGGGCTCTGCCGCCTACATAAAAGTAGAAAAAAGACAACACGTAAAAGAAGTACAATGGTAAGTCAAAATGTTGACCCTAAAAAACAGCTTAATATTTTTCATCTATCAATTGAATACAAAACCATAAAAATCGGGTTTCTGACATAAGAACAGAGGCCAAAGGAAAAAATTATAACATATTTCCATTTGCTAATATATGTTTTTATATTAAGTTTAAAATACATCCAATTCCACGTTTGTATAATGGCACATGCTTATATGGTCGCTCTGTAAATACAAAGTATAAAAATTTTACTGATTGATTTTCCTCAGCTTACTTCAATATATAATTTATATAAAAATGTTAAAACATAAAAGTTATTTCAATGAAAAAAATCTGCCACAGGTATATTAGCCTACAAATGTATTTGATTACTCACGCTTTGGTAGGATCTAAGTAAAGATGAGAAAATGTGAATCACTGTGTACACTTCAGTCGACTGTGGTGGTGCATGCCTGTAATCCAAGCACTCAGGAGGTTGAAGCAGGAGAATATCGAGTTCAAGGCCAGCATGGGCTACATAGTGAGACCCTTCCCCTTCCCAAAACATTTAAAATCAGGATTTGTTATATTCTGTAACCACTTTTCCTCCTCAATCCTCATACTGAAGAAGAATTTTTATCAAAGGAGTTAGCTTCCATGTAACATAATCAGAAAAACTCTCTTGCTTCTGCTTCATATCTGCCTTATACATAGTGCTTTCTGCATCCTGCATGAAATCTTTTACAGATTTTTTGCTTTTCAAATACTTCTCAGTCACATAAGTTGTCTTACTGCTGTCCTGAAACTTTATTTCCACTGAAAGTTCTCCCCTCCTCAGCCCTTCCTTGTTTCAGATTGAAGCTTGCTGGGATGAAGGAGTAGTAGGCTTTCCTACATTCCTGACTTTTCTCCTCAGTGTGTGTTCCTGCTTGGCTACTATTTCTGAAACACCAAACCTCAAGTTTTGGTGCAGGAAGAGAGGGGATTAGAGGGAAAGAGCCAGGCTTTCCTGGATGGTGCCAGATGCTGCTCTTCCAAAATTGGTTCTCTATGGACATGAATGACTGACAAATGTTGGCTTTTCTCTAACCTCAGGGGGCTTTTTAAGGACTGTCTTGCTGGGACCTAAGCAATGCTTCTCCTATAGTTGGCTGCCTATGACACCCTTCCCCCATGTCCTTGGCCTTATGGAGCTCACCCCATGTAAAACTCCCTCTCCTGGGTTTCCTTTCTCTGACTTGGTCATCTTCTAGGTACACTTGTCTCACAGCATAACTCAAGTGTCTTTGCACTGCTGGGTCCCTATGCCATCCATCTTATTGCCATCCCAGCACAGCCAGCATCTTGCTTTTGCACATCCTTTAAGACATCAGTCCTTGTGGATCTTCAACCTCAGGAGAAACAGCCAAACACTGAGAGTTTCTAGTGAAGGTGGCTATCTCATTTGGGTTTAGGCAAGGAGAGAGATTCCCTGCCTCTCATCTCTTCCTAGAGAAGTAAAAGAGGAAATGCAGAATCAAGGGTAATTCTCCAACACAATCCTCATTTTCTTATATAGACTGAACGTGGATGATTCATAGTGCTGATGGGGTCATTCTCAATCACTTACCATTTGAAATGGGAAGGGAGTACTTGACATCTGTTATGTTGCTTTCTGCCTTTGCAGCCTTTGCAGAAACTCCAAAGATGATGGGAAGAATCTAGTTAAAATCCTCTCACAACTGTTGCCTGTCATAAGTTTAAGAAATTCTTATTAGACTTTTGATGAAAATGGTAAAATGTGTTAAGGCTTTCACACACACACACTATAGTAGACAAATAACAACAAGAGATAAAACCTAAAAAAAGGAAAAAGACCTAGTCTCTATGCTATGAACTGAATTGTGATCCCCTTAGATTCTTATGTTGAAAGACTTAATCCCCAATGTGATGGTTTGGAGATGGGAATTATGGGTTAGATGAGATCATAAGATAGGGATCTCATAATGGGATTAGCACCTTTATGAAAGAGGAAGAGGTACCAGAGCTTTTTTCCTCTGCCATATTAGGACACAGAAGGTAGTCATCTGTAGCCAGGAAGAGAACGCTTACCAGAAACTGAATTGGCCCACACCTTAATGTTGAACTTCCCAGCCTCTAGAACTGTGAGAAATAAGTGTCTGTTATTTAAGCCACCCAGACTATGGTATTTTGTTACAGCAACCTGTTATGGTTTGAATATGAAATGTTACCCACAGGTTCATGTGTTGAATGGTTGGTCCCCAGCTGGTGGCACTATTTTGGGATAAGGCGAAAACTTTAGGAGGTGGGGCCTGCCTGGAGGAAGTAGTCATGGGAGGGGCATATCCTTGTGCACCAAACCTTATCCTTACACAGGAAGGGTCCTGTATTGTCTTCCTCTGCTTTCTGTCTGCCATATGTGAACTGTGCTGCTCTGCCACACCCTCCCTGCCATGATAAATTGAAACCTCTTAAGCCTTGAGCCAAAATAATTCCTCTCTTATTGTTTCTCTCAGTTATTTGGTCACAGCAATGAGAAAGGATGACCAACATGGAAAACTGGTATCTGAGAAGTGAGGTTATTACTGTGACTAAACCTGATAATGTATTCTTGAATCTTTGGAAGTGGTTTATAGGAAGAATTTGGAGATACTAGCTAGAGAAGCCCTAGAATACTGTAATCGGACCAGAATGCCAACAGGAATGAGAATAGAAAACACTGTGCTCATGAGACTTCAGATGGAAATGTTTACTCTGCTAAGAATTGGACTAGAGGGTGTTTATGTTACATTCTGGTGAAAAAAAAAGCCTTCTCTGCATTTTGTCCATGTCCTCAGACTTTGTGGGGTTCTGAGTTTAAAGGTGATAAATTACTTAATCTGATGGAGGAAGTTTTTATTTTATTTTTTGGTGATACTGAGGATTAAACTCAGGGCCTATGCACTTGCTAGGCAAGTGCTCTACCACTTGAGCCATGCCTCCAGACCTGGCAGTACAGCATCAGGCTGTGGCATGGTTATTTCTGGCTGCTTTTAGCCAGGTTTACAGTGAGAATCAGGAACAAAAAGCGGAGCAGAAAGACTTGAAAAACTTGCAGTTTGATCAGAAAAGTCTGTGTAAAGTTGGGATTAAGGAAGTCATAGTTTCTGCAGAGATTACCATCTCAGGAATTGACCAGCTCTCACCCATTACAGGCTCAAGGTTATGAAAGAATAAACTCATTTGAAAGACTTTTTCTTGAGAAGAGAGTGCCTCTGTGGAACACTGCCTGCATAGGGCTACCTAGGAAGTTGTTTTCTCAGGGTTTGTTTCACTGTGCTCAGCTGCCCAAGCACTCACAGGCCAATATAGTTGTGGTCCAAAAGGACCCAACTACTGCCCAAGGTGGAGGCAGACCTTGACATCATCCACATGATGCTGGTTTGCAGGTATGCAGCATGCAAGAGTTTCAGGGTCATGGAGGCTTTTACCCAGACTTCAAAGGCAAGCCTGGTAGATTAGGTAATGCCTGACAGGGTCAGCTCCCTGCAGATAGCCCCTGAGAAGTTGGTGTGTGAAGCTGTGAGGATGAATCCTAAGCTACAATGGAGAGCCCAGGATGCTAAAGATGCCATTAATGTTGAAGGTTTGCCTAGCAAATGGCAGGCAACAAGTGGTACTTGCTTAAGGGAGAGGCCAGGCCATAGGAAGGGGAGTTCCCAAGCTCTTGGGAGTTCATGACATGACATCACATGATGGACATAGGCCTATAAATTTAATGTTTGTCCCATTGGATTTTAATCTTGCTTTAGTCTGAGCCTTCCTTGTTACTCTTCTACTTCTCCCTTTTGGAGTTACTTTGGCATTGTTTATTGGAAGTATGTGATTTCCTTTTTGATTTTGTAGAAACTCCCAGCTATGAGGTGCCTTGAGTCTCAGAGGAGACTTTGAGCTTTTGAACAATACTGAACTGATAAAATTTTGGGAACGCTTGGGGATAGACTAAATGAACTTGCATTATGAGATGACTACGAGCCTTTGGGGGCCAGGGTCAGAATGTCATGGGTTAAATATGTAATGTCCCCTGTGAGTTCATATGTTGAATGCATGGTCCCCAGCTCTGGTACTGTTTTTGGAGGTGGTGAAAACTTTAGGAAGCAGGGCCTAGCTAGAGGAAGTGAGTCACTAGGAAAGTGTCTTCGAAGGTTATATCTGGTTCCTAGTTCCTACATCTCTCTCTACTTCCTGTCTGCCATGAGGTGAGTAGCCTCTGCCACATGCTTCTGTTGCCATGATGTTCTGCCTCACCATGGGCCAGAAAGAACGAAGCTAGGGATTATGTGTCATAGCCAGCAGTGGGACCGTGCCTGTGTGATTTGGCATCTAGCCTTGTGAGAAAGCTCCAAGGAACTGAGGCAAAAGTCTCAGAACTAGATGTCCAGAAAAACAATAGTGCTCAAGATTCCCCAGATACTTCATGTCCTTCAGATGTAAATAAGAAGGTTATGCTGACGTGTGCTTCTCCTGCCTCCTTGTTCCTGTTTTAAAAGAGACATAACAAAGATAGAGTTAATATTAACTGTGCTTCCTTGTACTAATGTAACCTTGACACGTAATACTTGGCATGCTTTTTCTGACCAAATGCTCTCTGTGAAAAAACAACTTATAAAAAGTAGAAGTGACCTTCAATAAAGTGGCTATTGAGCATAACTCGATAGTCCCCTCATCTTTTTCGGCTCTGATCACCCAGGTCCTGCTGATAAATGGCAACACTATGGACTGAAAGCTCTGAAACCATGAGCCAAAATAAATCTTTCCTCCCTTTAGTTGTTTGTATCAGGTATTGTCAAAGCAATGAAAGGTCTGAATAATATACAGCTTAAGCAGACTGATACGCTCCAAAAATAAAATTCTCACCACCATGAATATCCTGAAGCCACAGGCCTCCTGGGCTGGAAATGGCTCTAGAAGCCAGGATAGCAGTTAGAAATTTGGCTCCTGTGTGGTAATGGAGATTTAAGTGCCCCCAGGAGGAGGAGGACTTGAGCCAGGTTTTCAGCTTACAGCTAAGGGCATCTGCCTCTGCATGCAAGCTGAATGAAACGGTTGCCAACATTTTGCCTGAGGCTATAGTTTTATGGGAAGTTTTGTGCCAAGTGAGTAGGATGAGAAAACTTTGACAATCTTTAGAGCAGAACTGAGCCTAGGCACTCCCTGTGTTATGGTTTAGATATTAAGTGTTCCCCAAAAGGCTCATGTATGAAAGACTTGGTTGCTGATGATGGACTTTTGGGAAGTGATTGAATTCTGAGGACTCTGACCTAATCAATGGATTAACCTCTTGGTGAGTTTATAATACAGCTCAATTATTGGGAGGATGTGGTTGCATTATTGGGAGGTGGGGCCTAGTTGGAGAAAGTACATCACTGGGGGGTGTGGCCTGGAAAGACACACTCTGTGCTCACCCCTTTCTGACTCTTTCCCTCTGTTTCCTGGCTGTCATGGGCTGCCACCACCATAATGTTCTGCCTCACCACAGGCCCATAACAATGGAATAAGCTGATTATGGACCGAAACCTCTGAAACTGTGAGCCAAAATAAATCTTTCCTCCTTTAAGTTATTCTATCAGGTATTTGTCACAGCAACAATAACAAAAAAATGACTAAGAGTTGCTCACTGCCTGGGATGGCACTGCCCTGAAGTTACCAGTGTTCCTAGGTACCAGTAATAAGCAACAAGAAAATATGAATTTCTGTTAAACATTGTAGATTCAACCTATGCATTTGTCACTGTTAAGTCCCTAGCCTATTCTTGTTTTGTTTTGTCTTTGCAGTGCTGGGGATTGAACTCAGGGCCTTGAGCACACTAGGCAAGTCCTCTACCACTTGAGCCATACTCCCCAGCCTATTTTTTTCTATTTTAAAAAGTATAAATGAACTCATGCAACCTGGAAGTGTGAGGGGGACAACACCCCATAGAATGGAATTTTTAGAGGAACAGGAACCAATGAAAAATTTTCCCTGTGTCATTTCTTCTATGATGGTCTTGAGATACAGTTTGTTTGTTGAGGACACAGTCCCCAGATTGAGGATTGAGTGGTAACCACAGCAATACATCTGTGCTGGAGATGGATCCAGAAACTCACACATGCTAGGCAGTGCTCTACCACAGAGCTACACACCCCCTCCCCAGCTATTGTTGTTCTGAGATCCAAATTGAACATTTTGCAAAGATTGTATTCTTCATATTCTCAGTCTGTTTTGGAAGCTTTGTGTGCAAGGAATAAGAACAATGCCCATCCTATAAATAAACTATTTTCTTTATTGTAGCAATAATATTTGATGGGGATGGGGTAGGGGGCAGTTTAATAACCATAAACAATATCACATATATCTTCCAGAGGCTCTTCTGATATTCCTTTTTTTTTTTTTTTTTTTTTGGTAGAACTCAGAGCTTTGCACTTGTGAAGCAGGTGCTCTACCATTTAAGCCACACCCCCAGTACATTTTGCTCTCATTATTTTGAAGATAGGGGTCTCGCAAACTATTTGCCCAGGCTGCCCTTGAGCCACAATGCTCCCAATCTCAGCCTCCTAAATAGCTAGGATTACAGGTGTGAGCCACCAGCTCCCGGCTTTTCTGATTTTCTTTAATGGAATTTGTTGGTCGTTCTGGTCTGTGTCCAGAGAGTGTATGTGCTGGGATCGCCATGAGCCTCATGAAGGAGGTGAGGTGTTCCCAATAATTACATACTGTCTGTAACTTCTTCAAAATGCATACAAAATAAGATGCTTGATGAATGCGTAGAAATAGAGATGGATAGAAGGACAGTCACATAATAATGCAAATATAGTAAAGTTTTGAGGGTTTTTGAGTTTTTATTTTTTTGGTACTTGTGTTTGAATTCAGGGTCTCATGCTTGCTAGACAGGTGCTTTTACCACTTAAGCCACTCCACCAGTCCCGAGTTGGTTTTTTTTTTTTTAATAAAGTATTAACCATAGAAACTAGGTGCTGGGCATATGGATGTCACTGTAGAATTCTTTCGATTCTCTTTTTCTTTTTTGGCGGCACTGGGGTTTGAACTCAAGGCCTCACACTTGCTAAGTAGGTCCTCTTACTGCTTAAGCAACTCCTCTGGCCCTTTTTGTGATGAGTTTTTTTTTGAGATAGGGTCTTGCAAACTATTTGCCTGGGGCTGGTTTGGAACTGCAATCCTCCTGATTTCGGCCTCCTGAGTAGCTAGGATTACAGGTGTAAGCCACCAGTGTCCAGCTTCTTTCAGCTTTTATGTGTGAATATTTTCAGAACAAAAAAAAAACCTCATAAGATGCAGATAGTGATTCACAAAGAGAAATACAGGCCAAGTGTAGAGGCTCACACCTATAATCCCAGCTACACAGGAGGCCATAGGTAGGAGGATTTGCCATTTGAGGCCAATGGGGTGGAGGGAAGCAAGACCTTATGTGAAAAATAACTAAAGAAAAAGGGATTGGAATCATTATTCAAGTGGTAGAATGCCCCAGTATGAGAGAGAGAGAGAGAGAGAGAGAGAGACAGAGAGAGACAGAGAGAGACGGAGAGACTAAATGCTTATATAAGAAGAGAAAGATAGCCAGGCACTGGTGGGTTCACAACTGTGATCCTAGCTTCTTGGGAGGATGAGATCAGAAGGATCACACTTGAGGCCAGTCAGTCTAGGCAAAGGCAAAATGTTTGAGAGACCCCCATCTCCAAAATAACTAGAGCAAAGTAGACTGGAGGTGTGGCTCAAGCAGTAGGGTGCCTGCTTTGCAATAGTGAAGCCCTGAGTTCAAATCTCATTCCCATCAAGAAAAAAACAGAAGAGAAAGATAAAAAATTAATAAGCTAAGCTTCCAATTTTTAAAAAAAACTTAGAAGGGAGAAGGGGGTAAAAAGAGGATGACAGAAGGGTAAATATTATAGAAGTACATCATATATATGTATGAAAATAGCACAATGGGGCTGGTGGAATAGCTCAAGTGGTAGACACCTGCTTAGTAAACACAAGGCCCTGAGTTCAAACCCCAATATGACAAAAAAAAAAAAAAAGCACAATGAAACCCACCAAAAACTGTTGAAAAAGAGGGGAAGGAGGAAAAGGAGTAGATGTGATGAATTTGATCAAAGTAGATTATAATCATATTATAAATATCACAATAAAACCCCTTTGTATAATTAATTTATGCTAATAAAAATTGAAAAAGAAAGAAAAGAAAAGTTAAAAAAAAAAAAAGCCCTTAGCAATAAAGCCCAAGACAAAGGGCTGGGATATAGCTCAGGGATAGATAAAAACAAGCAGGGCAAGGTGGTACATAACTGTAGTCCCAGCTATTCCTGAGGCTAAGATAGGAGGATGGCTAAAACCAGGAGTTTGGGGCCAGTCTGGGCAACATAGCAAAACCTGACTCAAGCAAAAAAGGACAGCAGAAATCACTTGAATATGAGACAGATACAATAGAGATAATTAAAACACACAAAAAAATGGTTCTTTTGAAATAAGCGAAATAGACAAAACTGGCAGCATTGATGAAAAAAAAACCAAGACAGAAGGCCCAAATAAGCAATCTTCAAATGAAAAGGGATATGCAGACCAGTTACAGGGCTGGAAGCCACCACCAGCGCTGACAGTGCCTTTGTGTGTGTAAGAAGTAGGTACCCCTCTGTATAGTTGCAGCCCTAAACCTGAATTCATTACCAGGAAAGCCAGGTATAGGCTTCTCCCACTTATTCCTTGTCCAAATAAGCTTTGCAGTAAACAACCTGTAAACTGTATTAGCAGTCCTGTATCCCATAGTTTGAAAATGAAATACTATGAACAACTTTGTGGCAATGAATTTGAAAACATGGCCAACTAATTAACTTTCTTGAAAATATAACTTGTGCAACCATATCAAAGAGCAACAGACAGTGGATCTGGAGTTGAAGAAGGCCTTCACAGAACTTCAAGCCAAAGTTATTGACACTCAACAGAAGGTGAAGCTTGCAGACATACAGATTGAACAGCTAAACAGAACAAAAAAGCATGCGCATCTTACAGATACAGAGATTATGACTTTGGTAGATGAAACTAACATGTATGAAGGTGTAGGAAGAATGTTTATTCTTCAATCCAAGGAGGTAATTCACAATCAGTTGTTAGAGAAACAGAAAATAGCAGAAGAAAAAATTAAAGAACTAGAGCAGAAAAAGTCCTACCTGGAGCGGAGCGTTAAGGAAGCTGAGGACAACATCCGGGAGATGCTGATGGCACAAAAGGCACAATAGGAGCTTCTAGGTGAAGCTCTTCTTTCCTCCTGACTTCTCTCATCCTTGCAAAAGCTGAGGGGCCTGCGCAGGGTAACAGCCCCTCAGCCAAGTCAGATGGACGTTTTACCTGGATGGTCTCACAACCCCACATTCTGTATGTTGCCCTGAGCCCCTTTCAGGCCCCAACCTTGTGTATTTTTCCCTGCCTCTTTCTGTCAGCTGTGCTCCAGGACACTCTGTGCTTGGGGAGAGCTGGGAACTCCAGGGAGAAGGAGGACTGGGCCAGGGCAGATAGGAAGTTTTGCCTGAGCTTGCTGCTAGGCAAGCTGTCAAACCAATAAAAGGCTACGTCCTACTCTGCAAGTCTGCTTTTCTTGAGCCAAGGGATGAGAAGAGAGAGGAAGAGAGGCAGTGGCATCTCTCAGTTCCTGCTCCCTCCTTTCTTTTCTGGTGCTTGACCTCTGACTTCTGGGCCTTTTTGTAGAACAGAGGACGATGACTTAAATTCATAGCTGAAGTGAACAGAGTGGTAGTCGGCCTCAAGATTCTTTTCACTGCTTCCTCCCAAACATTGCAAAATAAAGTTCAATAGCAGATAGCACCTCCAGGGCAGTCTCCCTTTGGCCAGTGTCAAAGATGGATGCTACAGGCCTGAGGCCTCCAAGGGGCTCAGGGGCAACAGTGTGCTGGTGCTGGCTTGCCCCTGCTCAGGAGAGCCAGTTATTCACTTTTTAGGAATTTTGTTGCAAGTCAGCTGTTTAGCAGAGCTATTATTAGCAACTAAATTGTGTAAACTTAGAAGTTAATATTAATGACAGGGAAAATAAATAAAAATTCAAAAACAAAAACAAAAAAAAAAGCAACAGACAACCTGAATAAACCTATAACCATTACAAAATCTACTTTTAAAAAGTATGAAGCTTCTCATTTTTTCCCTATGATTTAGCATAATTAAACACCGTTGGAGTCATCTGTTTGCTGAAAAATAGATGTAACACAGCTGTGAGACCGTCTGCTTCTGGCACCTCTTAAAGGGTAACTCTGTAATCCTCTCTTCTGAACCTTTTTGTGAAAGCTAGTCTTTTCAAGTTTCCATTTTTTTATTTTGTTTTGTTTTTGTTTTTGAGACAGGGTCTCCCTATGTAGCCCAGTTAGTTTCAAATTTGCCATTCTCTCGTCTCAGCCCAAGTGCTGGGGCTGGGGTTATAGATGGGCACTACCACACCTGGCTTCATTTCTCATTTTTAAACCTTACAAATAAGATAATTATTCATTAGAGACAGCCAAATACCTTAATTCTAAGTAAAGTTACAACTCCAAACCTTATTTCAAAATAAGAATACCTCAGAGCTTCCCAAGAAATTGATTTGATTTTACACACACACACACACACACACACACACACACACACACACACATACACAAAGTCCATCTTTTCAGTAACACTTGAGAAATGCTGGTTTATTAAAAAATAGCAACATAGGGTAAGTATGGCTTATTTTGGGTCATGGTGCAGAGGACCGTGAGGGTAGTGGGGGAAGTCTGGCTCTGCTCATAGCAGCATGGGGGCGTTCCCCAGCCTGGTAGCTCCTCTGTCCCAGGCAGTGAGAAGGGCAACAGAATTTTGAATGTGCACACAGGCACCTGCTGACTCTTGCTGTACCCAGGAAAACATCTTGAGTTAGTGTGATTGTGGAGTAGTCAAAAAGCTAAGTCAGTGATGCTTAGCTTTGGACCCAGGAGGGGAGCCTACTAGTTAGGGGATTCGAGTGTGGCACTGCCACCAGAGAGCTGGCAGAGTTTGGGTTGGGCGGCCAAACAGGAAAGGTATACATTTCTTTCTTCTTTTCTTTAAAAATTTATTTTATTTCTGAATTATCATACATTAATAATACAAGGTACTTTCATTTGATAATCCCATACATGTATACAGGGTACTTTGAACAAGTTCACCCCCTTCATTATATTCCCACCACCTCCAATCCCCCCCCCCACACACCTTTCTAGAGCCACCCTCTGGCAGTCTTGAACCTTAAGAACCTTAAGAAAGGTTCATGCTGCCTCCAGGCCTACATGAAAGTGATGTTGAGTGCAACTTAACTTACAGGAAGCAAAAGAGGATAGAAACTGGAAATATCAGATTTCCCAGCAGATGTCCAAGAACTGAAACAGAGGTCAATGCAGATGCCTGTGAAGAGTGCCCCTTTGTAATCCCCATAAATATGAGCAACAAATTTCAAGAACTTCATAAAAACCATTCTGAACAGAAAACCTCAGCCTCAAGATTCTGAGGGGAAAAAGAAGACTCCAGAAAAGACCAATTTAGGCATGAAAGAGAATCCCCTGGTGAACAGTCCTTGAATGAAACCTGGCAGAAGGTGGTGTCACCAATACAGCGGAGCCAGAGATAGGTTTGAATCCCCTGTGAAAAAGAAAAAAGAAACAAGGTAGGCCTTGAGAAGTGGCTAGACCAGGCTGTGGAGGAACCGGATGTTGAGAAGGCTGAAGAACTCAGCAACCCTCCAGCTACTTGAGAGCTCGGAGTAAAAATTGCCACGGCAGTTGCTTGCCCCCAGTTTGTAAAAGCCAAAGAAGGCCAAAAATTCACAGCCAGCTCCAGAGAAGATACTGGCATGGGGTTTGAAGCAAAGAAGAGATGGGAAACATGGGATATCTGTAACTTTGCAGAGTTCTTCAAGACAGTGTAGACTTCCATGCTCAGCTTACTTAGGTTAAACTTACAACATGTTTAGGTTACATATGTCAGGAAATTGACAGAAGTAAAAAAAAAAAAAGCATAAAACTTGGGACTTTATTCAGTCTTTTTCTAAGGATTTCATACCATTGAAATGAATGCATTTTGTTGTTTGTGTAAGAAATCTAAACATCAATACAGGAAAAATGGATAGGATTTTATTTGTACAGATGTACAGTATAAGATCAATTTTGTTTTTATTTGTTTGGTATAGCATAACTGAGGCAGGATATTCAAGGATATTCAAGGACCCCAGACCAGGTCATGGGGAACAGATTGTCTCGCTCCATCTGGAACCACCCCAAAACACCCTTTTTGAAATAACATTTTCATCTGGACCCGAACTGAGGCATAGCATAAGGGCTCCTAATTATAGCCTAATGAATATGGGCTGGATCTCATTAGAGTGAATTCATATGCACAATCAATCTGTCAGTCACCAAAAGCTACTACTAAGTACACCTAGATCTCCCCCTTTTCTATAAATACCCATCCAAACCAGAGCACTGGTGCTCTTGAGCTACAAGTGCTGTTCTTAAGCCTCCTCACCCAGAGCCCACTACCTCCCTTCCCTAGGGAGTGTACTTTCCTACTTTCACTCCCAATAAAATGTTGCTGCTACTTTGCAATCTGTGTGTCTCTGCTCGATTCTTTGTTCAGTACACCAGGGACCTGAGATCTTCTCGGGCAGGGTCTTTTGAGACCACCAGTAGTAACATAACCAGTGAGGTTCTTGTACTTTCGTATCTGTTCTTAGCATAACTGCACTTTTTCTGGAATTGTGTTTTTAAGGTTGGCTTTTGTTTATAACGGGGTAGTCAAGCACAAGAGAGTCTCAGTTGTTACTGTCTTTTATTTAAAAGACTTTACCTGGATGCTATAAAAACAATTAGTGATTTATTTATTGGAGGCAGAAGTTTTGCTATTTTATAGTAACATAAGAAAAGCGATTTAATTTTTATATACTTTCAGATGAAATAATTATAATAATAAAAGGGGACAGAATGTAGTACTTGGAGGATGACTTAAATTCATCTCTGACTAGAAATGTCTTCCTAAATATCTCTCAGTCATGTCATTCTTTAAATTGTGGGATGGTTCTTAGAAGACAATATGATATAGTCATATTAAACAATTATAACTCAAGATAACATTTAAAAAGCAACATAATAAGAATTATATATGTGGGAAAAATGGACCTGGGGTTTCAGCCTTACAATAACAAAGATGGTTTTCCTCTAAGATTCTAATAAAAAGTTTTATTCTGTGGTTTAAATAAATCTTAATTTAAAACTGTAACCATAAATATTATGGAACTAATCTTACCACATGTGGTATCTAAACTAATAATAGAAAAGTCTTGCCTAAGGGTAGTCATCATTTCAATTTTCATTTCCTTTTGGCCAATGATTTGGAGGTTTTTTTCCTTCTTTCTCTCTTTCTTTTTTTTTAATGGTACTGAGGTTTGCCAGGTGCTCTGCCACATCTCCAGCCCTTTTAGTTATTTTTCAGATAGGGTCTTGTGTTTTTGCCCACAGGGTTGTGATCCTCCTGCTTACACCTCCCACAAAGCTGGGTTTACATGTGCATGCCACCATGCTCAGCTTACTGGTTGATGAGGTGGAGGAGTCTCACTAATTTTTTGCTGAAACGGGATTCAAACCATGATCTCCTGACTTCTACATCCCAAGTAGCTGGGATTACAAAAGTGAGTTCCCGTGCCTGGGCTTCTTTTCTCATTTCTTTTTTATTTTAGTGCTTTTTAAGCATATTTTTACTTTGAAAGGATGCAACTTGTACAAATAGTACAACTTTTTTGTTGAATTGTTTAAGAGTAAATTGTTTCCTGTTGCACCACTGCTCCTGAGTATTTTAGTAGGTATTTCCCAAAATAAGAACATTCTCTCCACAACTCCAATATAATACAAATTAACACTGGTATGTAGCTATCATTTAATTCTTCGACCACATTCAAGAGTCTCCAGTTGTCTATCCTGACAGGCATTGTTAGTTCCTATCTGATATGCAGATGTGTTGAACTGTGTCCTCCACAGCCCTAGGACCTCAGGATGTGAGCTTTTTGGTGGTAGGAATGCACTCAGTGCTACTGCTTTAAAATGGTTAGTTTTTTTTTGTTTTTTCAGTACTGAAGATTGAATTCAGGGCTTCCACATGTGGTAGGCAGGCACTTCACCACTTTAGCCATGCCCCCAGCCCTGAACTGGTTAATTTTGTATTGTGTCTCTTACCTTAATTTAAAAAGAAATAACAGCAGCAAGGAAATATAAAAGGCACAAATACACAAGGACAAAAGGAAAGGGAGGAACAGCAGACAGGAAATGATGACAA